TAGGGTTATTTGAGGGGGTTTTTTTTGGTTTGGTTTGGGTTTTTTTAAAGCAGGTCATTGTCCCAGGCCACTACTGGAATCAAGAACAGAATATTATTTTGATAAATGCAAGACCTATGCTTTATTTTGCATTGAAATGCTTTTCTCTTGTACTCTTTTAGTCAGCTCTGCCAATTTCTGGAGCCCAACACATCCCAGTAATAAATATTAATGAGGGATAGTTTGTGCCACGTACTGAGTCTGGAGAGTATGCTCATGAATACTAATAAAAAACACAGGGATTTTTTTTTTGTCTCTGGCTCTGATGTTTAGCATGCCATTAATACAACCTAACTGTGGATGCTAAAATAGTAGGGGTCAGTTAGAGCCTTCAGTTTAAGTGCAACTCTGTGTGTGTGTGTATAGTTACCCTATGTTCTCAAAACATCTTGATATGAAAAATTGATGGACGGAGAAGGAAGAGGAGCGTTGTTTCCATATACCTCTTGGAGTCTGTATCTTTGCATAAGCAAAAGTTAACAGCCTGGCTTCTAGCTGTCTGTGTCAAAATGAATCACTCTTTACCACGTAATAAAAGTACAGACACAAAAATATGCAGAGTTGAAACTCTGAATTACACTGGAGTTTATATAAAATTGAAATTAGAGTTCTCAGTTAAAACAAAACTAAACCCACAACACAGAAAAACCCACCCAAACAATTTTTGCTTTATTTCCCCTGAAATAAATTAATTTCATTTATTAATGAGGTATGTATTATTATAGTGTAATATATTAAATACTAAGTGGGTGTGTGGACCTAGAAATTCATGGATAACAGAACAGCTGTCTAAATCAGATGCTGAAGATTGTGAATGTTAAAATGTAACTTGGTTTTAATGAAACTCTCTGTAGTTTGAAAGATCAAATTTAAAACAATTGCCTAACCTACTGTTATGTGGGAGGGTTATGACAATAATTATCAAGCTACTCTGTACCTTACGCAAGTATTTTGAGGAGTCTTGTCAAAATATCGGCTAAATTAATGCCAGTAATGCAATAATTCAGATAATGAATGAAAAAGTTTTGAAACTGAAGTATTTAAAATCTATTCATCCATTAGACATATTTACAATCGTCATACTTAGCTGTACAAGCTGAATTTCCAGTGTTGACTCATGAGATTTCACTTGCGTCTAAGCTGAAGAGAAAGAAAAGGTTGTTCTTTCTTTGTCTCACCTTTTTGGAAGGAAGTGACTACAAAGGTCTCTGAAATGCTGGAAATAAAGTACTATATATCCCACAGGAGAGTGTTTCACATCTACAATATGTTTTGCCTTTTTTATGTAATGTCATCTCCACCTCTATACACCTTGACATTAGTGAGACTAGTAAGGAAAACTGCATTTTGTCCAAAAACGTTTTGATATTTTTGGAATACTGACTTCACATATGACTCAACAAAATACTCTTGAGTAGGTTTGTGTCAATGCTCCTCTCTCTCTCTCTCTCTTCTTTTCCTTCCCCTTCCCACTTTCCCTCCTGGTTTTATGTGATGGCTCCTTTACAGCTTTTGAATATGGCCTCTTCCTGTGTCACTGTGAGCTGGCTGCACCCAACAAAACATGGGAGGTGCCTCCTCTGTAGTGGTCTAGGTATTGACAGTCTTTGAGCAGCAGTCCTGATCCATTTATTTCTGCATTTCTGGATGTCAGCTGATAGCCAGCTGTCAAGGTTTAAGGGGAACAAGATGGAAACATTTTGACGAAGCTTGTGGAGTGCCAGCCCATCTCCTTTTTTTTGTTGTTGTTTTTTTGGTTTTTTTTGTTTGGTGTGAGTGTTTCTGAAATGTCAGAGGGAACAAAAATAATGTTTTTGGAAGTGAAGAAAAATAGGAATCACAAAGTACCCTGGAGACCTGCTCAGGACTGTTTTGAATTTTAATTCTCTTCAATCTGGGCCATTTTCACTTGAAAGGCTTGTAGGACCATGGCAATTAGGAATGCCACAGAGGTACTCAGGTTGTCTCTTTTCTTGACCCCTCATAGTAATGGATGCATTTCTGCAACAGAAGCTTCTTTAGAAGCTAAACTTAGAATTCTGCTGAACTTAGTGTGAAGATAGAGTACCAGCATTTGCTAGCTCATTAGTTAAGTGCCATAACATGTGTATCCATTTCGGTATTAGTAGGTATTTAAAATCACAGTAAAGAATCATAGAATCGTAGAATGGTTGGGATTGGAAGAGACCTTAAAGATCATCTAGTTCCAACCCCCCTGCCATCAGCAGGGACACCTTCCACTAGATCAGGTTGCTCAAAGCCTCATCCAGCCTGGCCTTAAACACTTCCAGGGAGGAGCATCCACAACTTCCTTGGGCAACCTGTTCCAGTGTCTGACCACCCTCACAGTGAAAAACTTCTTCCTAATATCTAATCTAAACCTGCCCTCTTTCAGTTTAAACCCATTTCCCCTTGTTTTGTCATTAACTGCCCTTAGGAAAAGTCCTTCCCCAGCTTTCTTGTAGGCCCCCTTCAGGTATTGGAAGGCCGCTATAAGATCTCCCCAGAGCCTTCTCTTTTTCAGGCTGAACACCCCCAAATCTTTCAGCCTCTCTTCACAGGAGAGGTGCTCCAGCCCTTGGATCATCCTGGTGGCCTCCTCTGGACTTGTTCTAACTGGTCCATGTCTTTCTTGTGTTGGGGGCTCCAGAACTGGACGCAGTATTCCAGGTGGGGCCTTACAAGAGCAGAGCAGAGGGGCAGAATCCCCTCCCTCGACCTGCTGCCCACGCTGCTCTTGATGCAGCCCAGGACACGGTTATCGGCCTCTGGGCTGCAAGCGCACATTGTCTGCTCGTGTTCAGCTTCTCACTCACCACCACTCCCAAGTCCTATTCAGAGCTGGTGCAAAGAATTGGGTGATCTTAATCTTGCACTGTAGTTTTATGCAGATTTATCTAACTGCCCATTGTCCATTAAAGTATAATTAATATTTAATTAGGCTTTTGTTTGGAGGTAACTTTGAATTAGTAGTGCTCCATAGTTTCAAAATGTTATGATCCAATGGAATTTTCAAGAAATCTGTGGAACATTAAGTTCAGGCTGTTTTAAGAAGCAGGAAGGAGACCGTAACATTTGCGAGATGAGCTGTCCTTTCTAGTTTTGAAAGCTCGGAAGGTTAAATGAGTAGGCAATAACAGGAGCAGGTGTTAAGGATAAAGTGCCATTCAAAGCTTTTGTTCTGCACCTCATCTGCTGTCTTGTAACTAAAGCACTTTTTTTGTCCAGGTATGTTCTCTGTCCAAGAATATTTTTCAGGGATGAACTTGTCATAAGAAAGGCATAGTGTTATCACAGAGTCGCAGAATTGCCTAGATTGGAAAAGACCTTTAAGATCATTGGGTCCAGTCATTAACCTCACACTGACAAGTCCCCGACTAACCCATGTCCCTCAGCACTATGTCTACATGACTCTGAAATCCCTCCAGGGATGGGGACTCCATCACTGCCCTGGGCAACCTCTTCCAGTGCCTGAGAACCCTTTCAGCAAAGAAATTCTTCCTCACATCCAATCTCAGCTGCCCTTGGTGCAACTTGAGGCCATTTCTTCTTGTTCTAAAGACATCCTAGATAAGATACCTTACATGAAAATGTTTGTCATCACATATTCTTTGCAAAAGTATATGGATTTACTTTCTTCATAATTTACAGTGCTGATTTCAGATACTGTTTATTTTGTATTAGATACTTTTTTGATTATAAATATTTAATGTGTTAAAAACAGAAGAGGTGAGTTTGTTTTGAAGCATGTGTGTTATACCCAAATAACACATCTGCATTGTGTACTCGTTGCCCTTGCTTAATCTGATTTCTGCTTGTGTGCTTTTTAGTGACTGAACCAGGATTAAATTTCATCCATTCATCTTTCCTACATTTCAGGGCCAGAGAGCTCAGAGGGGGTTACTGCATTTTGGCCACCCTTGCCTCTCACAGTGGCATGGTCTGACTGCTGTGACAGGGGCAACTCCAGGCTCTAAGGTGTGCTCATAGCAGAACTGGGGCTGGGACCCTGCTGCTTGCGTGGAGACCTGGGGTGGAAAAGCCCTGGTCTGCAGCAGGGGCACGTTATAACTGTCAGCTGAGTGACAAGTCTGGTAGTCACTGAAGGCAATTCCTCGCCTTCTTTTCCTTCCCCTCTAGGGCTGCAGGGCTCAAGTCAAAACATTTCCTTCTGGAGTAGCAGCAGCTGATAATTGTTGAATTTTGGCAATTTCTTCCAAATTATGGGAGCTGCTGTGATCCTGCAGTTCAGGGAACGAGATACTACAAAGTGAGGGCTTTGTGCTGGTGAGGGTGAAGCCCTCAGCCAACAAGCTCCCTGCTGCTGGAAGGTATTCCCAAGATCACTGCAGGGGAGCAGCACCCTGAATTAAATATCACAGGCAAAAGTAGAACTGTGATTGCAGCATATCACTGAATGTTCTAATCACTGAACGTTTATCTGTATTATCAGAAGGTTTTAAACTCATAACTTCATGTTCTAAGCTAGAAGACAATCACTTTTACAGTAGTGATATTTTATCCCTACAGAGCATTTGTTTGTCTTATGTTTAACTTGTCCCTGTCTAGCTGAAATCTTATTTGTGAATATATAAAGACTTAACTGAAGTGAATTATTGATGATCATATACGAACAAGAAACACTCTTACTGCTCTAGTTTTTAAATTCAAAACCATTACCAACCCGGTGCCAATGTTTTCCATCTCTTTCCAGAGTATTGATGAAGATCATTCTTTTAATCCTTTTATTAGTTTATATATATATATCTGCATCTGTGTGTGTATTCACATACATTGTTATACACCATAATTAAATATTCAGAATTGTTTTCACTGGCTGATATACTCAATGTACTGGATTTATATACTTCAGCTGGAAAATCAAAAACTTACTGCCTAATAATTTTCTTCAAAAACTTATTGCCTAATAATTTTCTTTATCTCTCTTCCACAGTCATAATGAACGAAAAGTAACCTGCAAACATCCAGTAACAGGACAGCCATCGCAGGACAACTGTATTTTTGTTGTGAATGAACAGTAAGTGGCATCTGTTTCAGTCTATAAAATACATGTTTTAAAACTCATTAACACTGAAGTAACATTCAGTAGTTGCTAATTACAATATTTATTTTTTTCTGAGGCAGATTAGCATGTATACATTTTTATTTGTTTAAATTATTTGGAAGTAATATTAAATATTTAATACTAATTTTTAAGGTAAAAACCATAGGCCACATTAGTTATACGATAGAAATGCACTGTGTTTACGCACTGTGTGAATTTCCACTTGTCACTTTATTCTGTAGTGTTAGCAAACGACCTATGTGTTATACAATAATCCAACAAACTTCCAAAAAGGAATAAATGTTTTAATCATTTAGGCACAATCACATGTCTTTAATCTATTGTGTTTTACCTGCTATCGTTTCTCCTCAATCAGTTATTTCCTTGGCCAGCTGAGACACTTTCTGAACTATTATCTAATAATTTTTTTTTTTGTGATCTTTGCATTAGTTTTGTAGAATATGCAACGATATGAGAAAGGTATACGTGCAAGTCATACCCGACCTCAAGATTTCACATGTGGCTGGGTGTTCGGTGTCCTACTTGTCACCATTGCTGCCACACGTTATACAGTAGCTAGAGTGAAAACCATCAGAACTGCAATTTGTGAAGCTTCACAAACATGCATGTTCTCGCTGAAGTGGGACAAAACCATATGGGGTCTTTGAAGAGCATTTCTTCCCATTTCCATCTCATGCTCATACCTGTCTTTTTCCCTCCCACCAACACCTTATACTGTTAGAGAAATCCTATTTTAAATGCCGTAGTAAAATTCATCTGTAATAGATTTAAGTTTAAAACACCGTGCAGGTAACTTTATATTGAAGTGTGAATTGCTTTCAAATTGGAAAAGTAGGACACAGGCTGTATTAGGCTACATCTAGGGGTGCTTTTTAATAGCAGTCTGCACACACAGCATGTTCTAGTGCTATTACATATTCTATTTTCAGGACTGCTGCAGCAATGACATCTGAAGAAAAGAAGGAGCGACCTGTAAGCGTGATATGTGAAGCAACTAACTATAATCTGACATCAGATTATGCTGCTCATCCAATGAGCCCTGTGGGCAGAGTAAGTCTTTATGTCCAAATTAAATTAAAATAATTCAGTTATTCCACAAGGTACTAGTCAGTGCTGTATATCTGTATTCCATTGAAAAAGAGAAAGGAAGCATGTATCTTTTTCAGGGCACTTAGCTCTTTTCATGTTTAATTTGGAAACTGACGTGTCGGAAAAAAAAATCACTGAAGCTGTAATTTTTATCAGATATCTCAGATCTTATGACTTGCACATACTTAAATTGTTTACAGAATCTGACCTTTCTAATCTGTGTAAACAGCAAAATCTTGAGTGACTGATCAGACATCTGGGTAAGCATTGTTAGGGAAATTCTCAATCACAAACAATTGACTGGATTCCTCCAGGTAAAACAGAATTATAATTGTGTGTAAGAAGTAGTTACAAGAGAGATGGAAGGTGACCCTGTGGTAAAATGAAAGGGCAGATGACATGATTTGCTGTTATTGGGCCAGAAGTAGAAGTCCTGATTTCCTAGGAAAAGTCCTGGAGGTTCCTAGGCCACCTTAACTTGTGTCCCACTTTCTCCATTCATCCACCTTCTCAGAAGGTTAAGGTAAATGCCCAGATATGTATCAAGGTGATGGGTTCAATTATATCAATTTTTAAGTTTATTGAATAAAGCTCATGAGACTGTTACGCACATTTTTTTCCATTTTATGAACAACTTCCCTGATAGGAAAGTGCACTTGCTACACAGCTAAGAGTTTCCTTAAGTTGGCTAGGACACCAAGATAAGAACTTTGATCAGAGATGACAAAGAAGAGCACTGTGGTCTTTTCTACCTAGCAACTAACAACTAAACAAGAAAAAAAAACCACCATACTTCTGCTAATCATTGAAAACTTTAACCCTGAGAAGTGCTTTTTGGCAGATTAATCCAGCCTGCAAGAGAAAATAAACTTTGGAATGTGTTTTAACCAAGTGAATTCCTTAATTTCAGAAACTTGGATTGCAATAATTTTTATTTTCCTTATGATAGGAAACATTGTAAGGTTACTTTAAGTGTACTTTGGAAACATTTTTTTGTTGTTTTAAATGTTTCATTAAGTAGGCAGAATCCTTGACCTACATTAGGAAACTGTTGTTTAATGAGAAAAGTGTCTTAATCTGTTAGTGTTGCTGGAGGGGAAAAAAAAAAGTCACAGTTATAAACAGTAACAAAATCCACCTCAACTTTCATATGATCATGTTTAAGTCCATGTAGGAAAGCCAGTTTAAACCAAAACAAACTAGAAAAAAACCCAAGAAAACAACCAAAAAAACCCAAACAAATATGCAGCACAATTAAAAAAAAAAAAAAAAAAAAAAAAGGAGGAGTAAAATATTGGTGAGGAAAGTAAATTATAGAGCAGAATGCTTCATGTGGTTGCCACACCTATTTTTTAGGTGTTTCTGTTGTCAGATATAACTCCTGAGCATACCTAATACTGGAAGGTAATGAGGAATGGAAGAAAAGTTTGTGATACAACTAAAGTTTCAGACAGCTGAGCGGTATAGAAATAAGTTCTCCCTTTCATTAATGTTAACTGATCACAAAAGAAGTTTCTGTTTTGTGGCAGAAAGACTCACTGGAGTCTAATGCTGCTGCTGTCTAGAGGCTAATGTGAGGTGAGGCAAAAGTCAGTCTCTCCCCAGTAGAAGTCTTCTTTCTAATCCTCCTTTTGCTTTACATCTGATGCTGGCAAAGTAACACACTACAGCTCTGCTACGTGCTGCTGCTTCCCTGTTAGCTTGAAGTGTATTTCTAAACCCACTAGCACAGACCTCTGACTGTTGACCAGATCTACGTAGGCTTGAGATTGCTACAGAGGTAGATATTTCCACCCCTCTTTATAAAATTATAAGTTGTTTTTGTAGTTGTCTTCTTTTTTTTTTTAATTTTATTTTTTCCCCCTGCTGTTAAAATCACTACCCAGACAAATATGATTGTATGTCCTGAAAAGCATTCAGGGAATCAACTTTTTAATATGTAAGTTAGTCATATTACCTACCACCCTCCACAGTTCATCTCCCCTGCTCGTCATTGCTGTCCTGATTACCAGCAGAATAATACTAACAATTTTCTTACAGTAGGTGGAATGGAGGGTTAACCCAGGACAGGTAGGATGTATCACATCGTTTATAAATATTCATAAATTTGTTTAGAGATATTTCATATAGTGCTTAAGCCAGTCCAGCTTTAAGTGGCTTGTTCAGGTATAACCATGCATATCTTCTCAGAATTCAGGTAATTTTGGAGTCATAGTCACGAGGTAAATTAGCAAACAGCGTAATAAACAGGAGCAATGTGAAGGGTGGTATGGGTGCTCAGGGCTGAATATCTGTACTGTGTTTTCATGGTTTATATTCAGACTAGACCAGTAGTGGCTCCTTATGCATCTTATATTTTAGTCTTATTTTAAATAAATCCTGTTTACTCTACTATGCAAACCAAAGCACAGTAAGAGTGGATGATTGGGGATTTGCTTCAAGAGCAGCCTCCTGGTCCCAGCTAACATACTGAGGCTCATGGAGAAGTGCACCACTGGAAGGCACTGAAATTGCCTACAAAACCCGGAAGGCAGCATCATGGTGGTCTGTGGTTTGGGAGATAATGTAAGCCTTGAAGACTGGAAACATATTTTTAAACAGAAGTTGAAAGATTTGCATTCTTTGAGCTCACATGCAGAAAATTTCCTTATCAGAAATGTTCTCAACCCATGGTTTTCAAATATAAATGCTATATAAGTTTAGTGTTAGTTAATTAATTAATATTGTGCTAGTTCTGAAACTGGGGAAGAAAACTCACTTAAATTCTGTGTCCTCTGCCAGCTAAGCAGAAAGGAGAGCAGCTTGCAGAGTGATGAAGTGTGCAGCCCCAGCTACTGACTGGTCTGTTGCCCAGAGTTCAAAACCCTGCTGGTGTTTGTTTTCTTCAGGTTTGGGAGAGAGTCACTATCACTCGCTTGTCTTCCTGGCTCCTTTCTTAGTTCTGGAACTGTACAGGATCCTTCCTGCAGGTTCTGGAGGCATCATAGTTGCTGGAACAATTCCTTAGAATGGGTCAGATGGTACCAGATGTGACTATAAGTTTCCTAGCTCTGTTACCTTCTACACCTTCCAGCAAGTGGTTAGTAGTTGGACCCTTCATTCACTACCCTCCTTTTCTCTTTGCCTACTGCAGAAGCTGGAGCTGTGCAATATGTCCTGTGTTTTTAATGCCAAGGGGTAAAAAATATTTGAACTCCTCAGTTCTTATTTTTTTGGGAAAAAATGCTCAATTTTGGGAAGAAATTCTCAATTTCTTCTACTGCAGAAGCTGGAGCTGTGCAATATGTCCTGTGTTTTTAATGCCGAGGGGTAAAATGTTTTTGAACCCCTCAATTCTTATTTTTTTCCTTTCTTCCTGTTTCCCTGGTATAAGAGATAGGAGGTATGTGTGTGAGAGAACATGGAATGGCCAGGAATCTCAGACATAAGAGGAGGAGGTGATCCAGAAAGTTTGAGAACTCATAATTAGTTTATATATACACCTACATTATTTCAGTATCCTAAAATACTCATTGTCTCAAGGCTTGGAGTTTGTTAGGAACAATTATTCTCTTTATGCAGTGAGTGGTAAAATAATCGCAAGTCATCTAAGATGTTCTCTCTATTAACTAAAATTAGGAAGCACTTGTGAGTCTCTGTTTAATTAATGGAAGTTTGTATTCACAGTTATGAAGATGTAACCCATTGAAACTTTGCTGTGAGCTCAGTGAAATTGGAGTCAATGTGGTTTGTTATCAGATCTGTCTAAGAGATATTGATCTAAATTATCTGAATTTGTTAGTAGACTTGACATCAGTAGTACTTGTGGTTGGTTGTGTTTTGAGTAGCATCCTTAATGTGTTAGCCACTTTACAAGCATAGGAAGTCTGGAACACTTCTGAGAGTTTTGGAACCTTTAATACCTAATATTAGAGCAGGTAGGAGTGTTATAAATTATTTCTGATCAAAATCTTGGCACAGCTCTTGGGTGATATGCCGATATAGTACCCATACAGGTTAACTGAGATAGATGTAGTTAACTTTATAATGTGCTCTGGATTGTTACAGATTTTCTGTATATTCCTTTTTTACAGCTGGATGTCATCATTCTCCTGACTTCTTACAAACCTTTGTCCATTTTGCACTGGTAGAATTTTTCAAACAAAAATGTGAAAGATTTTTACTTTTATTTTTAATTGGGTTTACAGTTGCTTGCTTTATCTCCAAACAGAGTTGAGTCAAATTTCTGTATCTCCAAGGGAAATTAAAAGCACTCTGATTGCTTTTATATTCCCTCCTGATTCTTTCAAAAAACAAATACAAAACAACCTTGTTTCGTTGTGTTGTAGACTTAAGATAAATGCACATACTTTTTGTAATATTCTTTTTTGGCTAAACTATGTTGTATCATTCTGGTAATGACATCGTTGACAAAAACTGCACATCATTTTAAATTGCAGTTTTCAGTTTGTGGGTTTTAACCTACTGTGGAATTCTCTTTGAAGCATGTATAAAACCCAACTCAGATCTGTGATGTACATTGAATTTCCATAGAGAAACCCCATACTCTGTTTTGCAAGGGAAAATAAAAAACAAAACAAAACAAACCCAAGTGTTTAGCCTTCCTCCTTTAGGAACTTTGCATAACTTTATGATTAGTCTTAGTAGCAGAGATGGGGAAGCTGAAGCACAACACTATTGTCTCAATTCAAATAGTGGATTGAGAGCAGAGCCATGAACACAGCTTAAAAAAACTTATTGGAAATTTACTTCTTTTGCAGAGTGGGATACTTTGCTGTATCACATCACATGGTCTCTGAGGCACCAATTCTTACAGAATTTAAAACACAAGTAAACGTTCAGCTCATTTAGTTGCACAACAAACTTTCCAAACGTAGGCTGAAAAGAATGAAGTGTGAATTCTCAAAGCGCTGCACGTTTCTTTATGCCTTTTTCAATTTCTTTTGGTTACTCAAGTAGAAGGAGGATAAAATCTAAAATCGGTTATTTATCCTACTTCTCTTAATCATCTGTGATCATTGCATAGCTGCAAGGTTGTAAAAGATATAAGCAACAGCAGATAGAAGTATTGGAGTTACGAAGTAAAAGTTTCACAGTAGGCTTTAGTGAAGGAAGGTCAACTAACAAATATTCAAAGGAGCCAAGAGATCACGGAGCAAAGGTTTCTGGAGAGGGAATAAAGAATTTTTAAAAATTTTATATGTTAGGAAATTGGGAGTTATATCTTGTTAAAATCTGAACAAGTTCTCATGTATTAGGCTGGTGTTGGAAGCAGGAAAGAGTAGAATTTTCTTGCCCAGGTGATATTTTTCATAATTAATAATAGTTCTGTTAGTCTTACTTCTCTTTCTACAGCTTAGTTGGCTTTCTGCCTGCCTTATAAGGAGCTCATGTATTTGTTTGTTATTTCTTGTTAAAAAAAAAAATCTTTAAGTACTTGTCTTGGGATTTGTCTTCAAATTTTCTGCAGAGGAAAAAGAAAGAAATGCTGAAGCGAGCAGAACCATCATAATTATTATTTATCTAAAAAAAGAATACAGTTTGTATTCTGCAATCCCCCAATGAAACGTTTATAAGAAAAAGATCTTAAAGAAAATGCCTTATGATCTTTCAGGAGGTATTGATGTCATGTTTTCTTTAACCTGTTCAATTCAATTTAGACATCACGATCTTCAAAGAAGGTTCATAATTTTGGAAAGAGATCAAACTCAATAAAGAGAAATCCTAATGCACCGGTTGTCAGACGTGGCTGGCTCTACAAACAGGTACTCTTCCCCTCTTCACCTCTTTCTTTTTTATTTCCTTCATAAAGTGTATAATGTACAAAAGACAATCATTTGCATAAAATACATTGATAGCAATATGAGAGCGAAGCTATAAACTGTGAGGAACTGACACATGGTATTTTAATTAATTAGCTACTTGTTGGATAACATTCTGATACAAATGAGTAAGGGCATCAGACAAGTACAAAACATTGAAATACTATATGTACATATTTCTCTCTAAAATACACAAAGGGCTTGAAAAACCTAGGCAGATGTTGGTAGAAGCTGAATTAATTTTAGGCATGCTGAGATGATGGGACAAGGATGTATGGCCCAGCATATTGTGGTTTTTTTTTTTTAATTCTGAAGTTTCTTTTGATAGGCTGTATCTCTTTAAAAAAAATAAAAGTGACTAAATATTTTCAATAACAAACTGAAAATCAAGCAATTTTTTCACATACGAAAAGAGAGAGGAATGCTTGCTTTCTTAACTCAGATAATGACCATGTACCTGCCTAGCCTGCTGTAGATTCGCTCTTCTACAATACCAGACCACTTGCACTTTCTTATTCTGCAGGAAATCAGAGTACAGTAGTTTAATCAAAAAATTGAAGAACAAAGCTGATTAGGCCATATGAAGAATATATTTTGTAAATCTGCCAAGAACCCTGTAAGAACTTGTCATTTAAACTCAGCTGAGGCAAATGTGTATATGTAGTTTTGAATCTACATTGTCATTTACTGTCCCTACTTTGTTAGGCACATAGCTTTCTGGATGCTGTTGATGAGCTAGTTTTTTAAAATTACTATCAGATAAAAAGATGTAGAAGTATCTGTTTAGTAGATTTCTCCATGTTTAGATACTTATGTTGCCTCTACTTTCATTCAAGTGAAAAGTTGTCACAAAAACGAGAGGTTTTATTTTTGTTTTGAGGCTATTCAACTTTTTAGCTTGCAAAAAAGTCACTCTATTCCTAAAAGTGATGTTTTATGGATTTTTAAAATTAAATTAGACAATTAATTAACTTGTCTGAAATATGAAGCCCTAATTATAGCAGAGGTGGTTGTGCACATGAGTATCTGTGTTATGTTATCTTTACTGCCTGCTTCTGAATAAACTAGATTCATAATGATCTGGCTTTTCATTCTGAGGTCCTTTGTAGTGAGTTTTACTTGTATAAAAAGATATGGTTATTTACCTGAACAAACTTACAGGAATGCTCTAAAGATTCTAGCTGTTTTATGTCTCGTTTCAGGTCAAACCATGGATATTCAGCATATAAAGTAGTACAAGGATGTTGTTTTCCTAAAAAATATACTCTATTTTCATATTACTGAGTCCATTTTAGTGTACAGTTGTATTGTTTCACTAATGAAGAAACAGTAGCTATATTTTAAGATCACAGAATTATGATGGTTGGAAGAGACCTCTTGATCATCTAGCATAACCTCCCTTGCTCAAGCAGACTCAGCTAGAGCAGGTTGTCCAGGACTGGGTCTAGCTGGGTTTTGAACATACTCACAGATGGGAACTGTACCACCACCTCTCTGGGCAACCTGTGCCAGTGTTTGATCACTTTGCCTCTGCTCAGGTGGTATTTCATGTTTCTTAATTTGTGCCCATTGCCTCTTGTCCTGTCACTGAGCACCACTTGGAAGAGTTTGGCTCCATCTTCTTTATATTCTTCCATCAGGTATTTATACACATTGATAAGATGCCCCCTGAGCTGCCCTTTCTCCAGACTGAACAGTCCCAGCTCTCTCAGCCTCTCTCCATATGAAAGATGCTCCAATCCCTTAATCATCTTTGGGGCCTTTGCCTGATTTGCTTCAGTATGTTCATGTTTTTCTTGTACCAGAGAGCCCAGTACTGAACCTGGCACTCCAACTAGACCTCAGTAGCACTGAGTAGAGAGGAAGGATGTCCTCCCTCCATCTGTTGACAACACTACTGATGCAGTCCAGGATGCTATTGGCTGCCTTTGCTGTGAGGGTGCGTTGCTGGCTCATGATCAGTTTGTCCACCAGCAGCCCCCAGGTCCTTCTCCATAAAGCTCCTTTTTAGCTGATCAGCCTCAGTGTGTACTGGTGCATGGGGTTATTCTTCTCCACATGGAGGACTGAGCATTTCCCTTTGTCAGACTTCATCAGATTCTTCTCTGCCCAATTTCCCAGCCTGCTGAGGTCCCTCTGAATGAGCACAACCATCTGGTGCATCAGTCAGTCCTCATAGTTTGTATCATCTGCAAACTTGCTGAGGGTGCACTCTGTCCCAGCGTGCAGGTCATTAATGAAGATACTAAATGTTGTCTTGGCCACAGTGTCAACCCCTGGAGTAGATGACAAGCAACTGGCCACCACTGGTGCCACTGTTCACCACTTTCAGGACCTGGTAGTTCAACCAGTTTTCAATCCACCTCATTATCAAAATGCATGCCATTGTACAGGGATTATGTGTAAAATGATTTAAATGCTGTGATGTTTGATTAGGTTTTGTAAGAAAAGAGGTTGCTGTATTTTCCAATGTTGCAGTAGCAATTGAAAGCCAATTTAGCCAAGAGTTTTACCAACAGATACTATCTATCTTCAGAAATTTACAGTGAACGCTTGAGCAGGTTTCTTTTTGTTAGCAAGGTAACTTTCTTAACATGCTTATGTACTCACAGAGAACAGCGAGTTTTATTTGACTCGGGGTGTACTGTCTCATTGCATGTAATAGCATTCTCCTCTCATTTTTCTATTAATTTTTAAGTCTAAAGTCAACTCTCTTTTTGGAAGATGTTTACTGTGAACATACTGCTACCATATTGTGACATAATTCCAATCAAGAGGGAACAGTAATTAGTAAATCAACTGATACAGAAAGGGTGTACTTTAAAGTAGGAAAGAATTTAAAATGAGAACCACCCAATCATAGAATCATAGTGGTTGGAAAAAGACCTTTAAGATCATCAAGTCCAACCATAAACCTAACACTGCCAATGCAACCTCTAAACCATGTCCCTAAGGTCAGTCCACCATCTCCCTGGGCAGCCTGTTCCAACACCTGACTACCCTTTTGGTGAAGAAGTTTTTCCTAATATCCAATCTAAAACTCCCCTGTAAACTCTCCCAGTAAGAAGAAAAAGGGCAGTAAAGAAGAAAGTCCAACTCACATGTAAGCCATCCTGAATGTTCCTGAATGTCACTTGTTAAAATAATATATATCATCCATGTAAATAGAGCTGCATATTCCTTGTTGCAAAACACCATGCTGATTTCTTCAGTTTTACTGTAGTACATAGGCATATCTTCATACATCTTTCATGCAAAATTGGGACTTAATCTTCTCCCTTTGATATCTGAATTAGTTTTAGTCTCCTGTATTTTGTGTCTTAATGATAAAGTTGTTATAATTTTATTTCATTGTATTATATAAGTTTTGTATTTATCTTCAGGAAAAAAAAAAACCCTTAGTGGTGTGGTGATCTCAACTTATGGAAAAAGATTTTTTTTTTAACTTCTGGTGATCTAAGAAATTATCTTCTCCTAGTCATTATTAGGATAGCTGGCAAGAACTGCATGCAACATTTTTTGAAATAGCTTCCAGGCAGAAGCATTTGCAGCTTGGAGATGGAACAGAGACTGTTTATCCCTTGAAATTTGTTAGGATACAGTTCAAGTTTACTGAGTTGTGTCTCCAGTTTTGGTTTGAGCAGGGAATGATTTTGTGTGCCACTCTGCTATGTCTGAAGAAGGACGAAAGATCATTCCTAGAGTGTCTCATTGCTGTCAGGATTTTACATGTGGCCCTGTAGAAACCTGTTGGTGTTTTTGAGTGATGGGATAAATGTGACAGAAAGCCTGTCTGAGGTTTTGAGATAATCCTTTATACTGAAGAAGTTTGAGTATTTTCAAGTGGTAAGGTTGATTTTTGTGGCCAGTGTCCTTTAGGCCAGGTGTTTGGCATCCTAATCCGCTACTGAGTCAGTGAGGTGAGGAAGGCAGTCTCCCCTCCTTGGGTTTGCCTTTCCAACAGTGTGCTTCCAGACTTCATCAGTGCTCATTAAACCCCTTTGAGGTCCTCAGAAGGAAGGTGCTATAAAGTGTTTAGTTATTCTATTTATGACAATGTTTGTGGCAAAGGATTTTTTCACTTTTTCTGAATAATATTTCCTAGCTAATGCTTGCTTTACCCTTTTTTCTTCCTCCTCCAGCTCATTTCCCCACTCTAAAAAGTGGAGAGTTTGAAATATCAGGCTAAAAATGATGCTGACTTTTCTCAAAAAACATGCCCCCCCCCCAAAAAAAAAGAAAAAGCCCCAACCAAACCCACCTCACAGTTTTTCATTATAGAATCCATCCTCTTGGTTGTCACAAAACCTCAAAACTTATTTACTACAAGAATATTGATAATTCACACATACTTTTCTTCTTGGAACAAATTAACATATTTATTAAATCTGATTCTACGAGGATGTGTGCGCTGCAATTCTTTGGCTTATTTACACTGCAGTAGTGGTGGCAGTCTTTCATTCTGAGTTGTGCAGTGTAAATTAGTTATAAACATAAAAGAAAATGAAATTGCTTTAGGAATAAACTTTATTTGGGGAAAGAAATTTTCTGTAGATATGAGTGGTAGTAGAAGATGAAATTCAGCAGAGAATTTCTTCATAAAACAAAGGAGGATGTGACCCAAATACTACCTTGCTCATTTTGGGTTTTGGGTTTTTTTTAAAGTATATATTTTTTCAATTAACTGTAGGTTGTAGTCTCTAGCATGCTAAAATAATAGACTCATTTAATTTGTTCTTGAATCACCTTAATTTTAGGCTTCCTGGCTTATGATCTTGGTTTGCAGTGTCAAGTCTGTGATGAGAAGTCAAAAATATTTAAAATATCTTAGCTGAGAAAATTAACTACTAGCACAGTAGTACCACAGTTATGTAGTACTCAGTTTACTTTATGAACTATTACTATTAACAGCCTGAAAGTTCTTGCTTGATCACTTTAATACAGGATAGTACTGGAATGAAGTTGTGGAAGAAACGGTGGTTTGTGCTCTCAGATCTGTGTCTCTTCTATTACAGAGGTAAGTTCTGCTCAGGAGAGCTGAGTTTGCTGATTTTACTGGAAGCAAATAAATTTTGACACAGCACTCAAGTGTAAGGAAAATTAAGCTGCTACTTAACTTAATGGATAAAATAGTTGCATTGCTGACAGTATCCAGGCCTACAACTATTTTAATTTTTTTTCCTTCTTTCTTAATTACCAGTTTCACATAATTGCTTCCTGCCTGTCAGGTATGCTCAAAGGGCAAACCTATTCACAGCCACTTCTTATATTAAACTCTGGATTGTAGTTTTTTCCCTGCATCTTTAGTACGTTTCTTGGCACTAAATGTACCAAGTTAAATCTGACTTTTGAGGCAAATGAAATAACTGAAATGGGGATAAGCAAGAGGTAGTGCAGGGGAGCTGAAACTCTGCCTTTGGAATGATAAAAAGGATGTATATGCCTTTTGGGAATCTAATCAGTGTTCATGAATGCTTATGAAGTGAAATGTTGTCCAATTCCATATAAGTAGAAGTCTGCAGTATTTGGAACAAAGAAATCTGTTAGTACCCTCATGGAGCTACATCAGTCTTATTTTACATGGCAAAATTAGCTGCTTATAATTCTAGTCTGGGTATATGTGTGTTAGAAAACTGATTCCTTCCCCATTACAGATTATTAATTGTAGTGCTTCTGAGGGGACAAATGGGATTTGTGCATATGGCAACATATTCAGTCCTGAAATAAGGTGAACAACTATAATAGTTTAAAGGAGGCTAAGAGCTAAGAAGATTGTACAGCCTGGCAAAAGAGAGGAAAATGAACAGTTAAGGCCATCTGCAGCCTTGTGAAGAGTGGAAAAAAGTTTCAGTTTAGGATGAGACTTTAGGATTGGTAGAACTGGTTGATGCTGGTGATGCTGAAAGCAGTGACTGATGAACTGAGAATGCTGTTCTGTTAAAGTTCATGGTTCTGTTCTAATCAAGACAAATCAGGTCATGAAACACAAAAGCTTTGTCTTTGTAACTGTTTTAGTTAACAAATTCTGAATTACTGAATTATAATCATTAGGCTTTGTTTCTTTACCTCAAGAAGTATATGTAGTTGGGTAAACCACTGCTGAGTCAAAATTAGGCTGTAACTTCAGTCACGGAGGTATCGATTGTGATGCAATTACACTGCATTTAGTTAAGTTATCATTATATACTCTCTACTTTCTTACAGAGTTTTATTTGAAACAAGTCTTCAGGCTCTCTCTTCCAAAGGTTCTGAAGAAAGTGCTGCTTTGTAGCTTTCTTAAGAACAGATTAAACTGACTTAAAACACTGCACATGAGGTATCTCAAAATAAAACAAAATTTGCAATAAGCAAAACCAACAACAAATAAAATAAATCCAAACAGCTCTATAATCTTACTTTATCATTCCTACCTGTTACTTTGCCAAATAAGCTGAAATACAAGCAGAATAGTCTAAATTATTTACATGATAAACTTAACTTTTAGCTATCATTCGCTTACTAGAAAGCAGTTAAAGCTGATAAACTGTAATTAAACATGTATAATGAGATTCCTAAAGGTATTAGAAATGGCTACTAAAATATAAAAAACTTGCCTTCTAAACCACATGCTTTTATATTTTTGTTAATTCTGTCTCAGATATTGAAAAAGTTGAAAGGAGGGAACCATACGCTTACTCCCAAATTGCAACCAGTGTTTTTAGTTATGAGACTGTGGTTGTTGGGGTTTTTTGGTTTGGTTTTTTTTGTTTTGTTTTGTTAGTAAATAATTCTAATTCATAGATTAACAGAAAAAAAAAATTCATTGTAATTTTTCAGAGCTTAGAGAATACTCTCTTCTATTTCACGGAGGGATAAAGGAGTGCTGGCTTTTATATTGGAAGGTTATTGTTGCAACAGATAAAGGATCTTAGAGCTGGACATAAGATCTACTATTTTTGTCTTGTGTTATTCATTCACAGCATACAAGTAAAGATGGGTATGGGGCAGTGTGGTGTGAAGATAAAAGCTAGTGTGATGGGAAACAGATTTTTCAAATGTGGAAATGAAGTGTAGCAGTATGTCTTCAACAAAGACCAAAGTCCTCCAGACATACAGCTGTTTAGTAGAACAAAAACGCTCAATGCTTTTATATGGCACTAGTGGGCGTGAATTACTCAGTCATAAGTCAAAGTATAATCTAACAGAAGAAGGAAATTTTTCCCCAAAACAGCAGTCCAAATAAAGGGAAACCCAACGTTTGCCAGGCATTCATGGACAAGGGGAAAAAAGCAGATTTTTTTGTGTATTTGTGGCTAGGAAGGAGTAAATATTTGAGAGGGGAAGGTGAGGTGGTTTCAGGCATGCTTGTGAGTACAGCTGAGTACCTGGAAGTAAATCCACTCCCTTCATTTCTTTTTTACCTTTTAATTGGGATAATTTTATGCTCAGTTCTTCACTTAAATAGTGTAATAATAAAGAAAGTGTAATTTTGACATGACATTACATGTCATGTAATGCTAAAAGGACTGGGGAGAGCTTTCCCCATATGAATAACAAATGGAAGTTGTGGCTTTTCAGAATTTAGTGAGTAAACAAGAACCATGGGGGAAAAAAAAAAAAATCCTCTTATAAGAGGTAGTTCTTTTGTGCTGTTTACATGTATTTTAATTGTAACAGTATTAATTTTCCATGCTTGAAACTTTGGAATATCTGTTTTCATCTTAATTTCATAGATACATAGTCACATGTTGTGGGCAGTATCTTCAACCAAGGGAAGTGTTATGGGGGACAATCTCCTAAGATACTGGTTGTGACTATAAGTTCTGTATCAAAATACAATTTTTTTGTGAATTGCATCCAATTATTCCTCTATTAAAGTATAATTGAATTTAAGAGCTTATTGTGGCTTCCAGTTAAAATGTCAATTTATTATTTTAATGCATTGTTCTAAAATTTTATGTAAAACAAGGTTCTGGAAAAAGGATGTTTCTTTTGGGGGAGAGTTTGTTGTTTACAGACTATCTGAAACATATGCATTCTTCCATATAGCATGTAACTCCTCATGGGGTTTATGAAAACTTGTAGTTTAATATGCCCGATATCAGAAGAAGAATGTGCAAATTTTCTCAAAGGCCAATGATCATGAGCAATATTTTAAACCACTTCTGCTCTCACAGGTATTTGCAGGTTTTACTGAGCAGAAAATAGATAGCAGGTATTGTTTTTGTCACTGAATTAGAAACTTGACTTCCATCTACTTTTCAGTTTTGAAGTCATATGCAGGTAAGCACCGATCCCCAGAAAAACTGTCAGTGAAGCTATTTGTGGTGTTTTCCATAAGGCACGTTCCATAAAGTAGCTCACGTGTGTAACCTTTTACAGAACTAGCACACTCAGGAGAGTTTTTTATGCTTGTCCATCTTGGGGGAAAAGCCAAAGGTGGCTGTTTTCAGCTAGCTTAGATTTCACAGTGCCTAGCAGGTTTTTGGGGTGCACTCCTGTGTGGTAAACGTTCTGTAGCACGTGTTGGCAGAGAGAGGCTGCACAATTGCTCTCGTGGGCTGCACACTTCTGAGATGGTGTACAGACACCTAGGTAGCAAATCAGTCTGGCTTTCTGGTTCTCTAATGTTTTTTCTTCCAAGGTAAACTTCTTGTTACTGGTCTCGTGTTGTTAAGTGTAGTTTCACTGAAGGGTCTGAATATGAGTATTATGTGTCAAAACACTTTATTTCTCTAATCAAAGACTGTACCTTCACAGATGAGAAGGAAGAAGGAATACTAGGTAGCATACTTCTACCTAGTTTTCAGATATCTGTGCTTTCCCCCGAGGATCATATTAACCGCAAATATGCCTTTAAGGTAAGGGAATCAATCTTTCAGTTTAATTTTATGTCTGAAAGTACAATAACCTGGTGATCAGAACTCATTTTGCTGCGTTATTATGCAAAACAGGATTGACAAACTGGTTCTGGGACTGACTTTTGCATAATACAGTAGCATAAGATTCAAGTATTTGGTCTGATGTAAATATAGATATAAATACTAGAATAAGAAAATTAATGAATATAACTTTCTATTAGTCTTTTATTTTTAGTCCATGGGTCTTAAATACTGTGTGGTGTTTTATGACTGTAGACTGTGTCTGTGTTCTCTATTTATTTAAATACAAAATATCTTTACATATAAATAAAAATAAGATTTTATTATCACTTAAATCACAGTATTAACATGAATCATTGTTAGGAGAATTTCACAGCTAGTCTTTTTAATTATGATATAAATCACTCTACTAAATATTTTCTCTTGACTTTTTTTGTTGTTTTATGAGCTCCTTTTGGCTCTTCTTTTGGCCTCCTAAGCAACACATCATTTATTTACTGTGGTAAGTACAAATTAAAACTTACTATATCATTCAGACAGCAAAAATCTATTCCAAAATCTATTTCTAATAATTATATTAATTTATATTAATGGATAGTCAAGATAGTTTTTAATGGATTGAATAAATTTAAGGACTTTTTTTTTGAGTGTATTAATGAAGCAGCAATGATTTAAAATTATAGGCAATTATTTTGAAAATATGAATGCAGTGACTGAGAAATATTGATGTATTCCTTCCAATATTTTTTTCTGATAATCATATTTGCAGAAACCTTCTTGTAGAAAACATTAGAGAGAGCATACAGTAACATTATTTGCCTCTTCTTTTACAGATGCTTATTTTTATTGCAATGACCATGTCATTTCCAATCAGGCAGCTCATCCAAACATGAGGACCTATTATTTCTGCACAGATACAGGGAAGGAAATGGAGTTGTGGATGAAAGCCATGACAGAAGCAGCACTTGTGCAGACAGAGCCTGTGAAAAGGTAACGTGGATTTTCAAAACAACGTCACAGTGTATCTCTTTCTCATATTTAGTTTGATTTATTTAAACAAAAGCCTATGGCTCAAAATAGAATGTAAATTGGATAAATTTCTCCTTATATTGAAGACCTCTTATGAATTTAAAAATGTTCAATAAAATTTTGAAGTAGTAAAATAACCTAAGTTCTGCTCTGAATGTGGAAGCCTTAAGAATAAGGGGCTAGAGGACAAAAACCTGATTAGTTCCTTCAGCCAACAGCATCAAAAGAAGGGCAATGGCAAATACCACATGCAGCAACAGCAGCTCAACTGGTGATAGTCTTTGGTTTAAACTTGCCATGCATCTCAAATTCACAACCATAGTTTCTGGCTAACTTAAAGAATTGCACTTATGGGCAACCTGTGGGGAGCCATTCTTGTTCATCATTAAGCTGTTATCAAATTTATACTTACCTGGTCCGGAGCCTTATCCTTTATGTATCCATATGTTGACAATGAAAAGCAAGTTATCACTGGAAGCCTTGTGTTTTCAGAAACTGAATATTGTCTGCTGCTGTCTATCCAGTAAGAATCATTTTCTCTCTGAGTAATGTCCTTTGGGTCAGTTCCATGTCATCTTTAGTGGAATCCTCATCAGTAGAAAACTTAAAACCTCCTCGTTACTGATTGAAGTTATTGCTGCTGTCAGTTGATCTACTTCTGCATTCTGTTAGTTCCTGCTACACTGGAGCTAAATGAATGGCAGCAATGCTGAGAAGTTTTAAGTTTAAAAAAAAAAAAAAAAAAAAAAAAAAGTAAAAAATTTCATAGATACAGATACCAAAGAATGTAAAAGGCACATTTTTTGCAGAAAAGTGAGCACATTGAACTTCTTGTCAAAATGCAAGCAGTCTTCCTGAATTCTGCATCACTAGTGCAAGTCATTCCTGTTAACTTGCTCCTGACACTTCTGTGTCCTGTGTTCCAGTATGGTGCTGGCAGAAGCATAAAATGGAATGCAGAATGATTTGATACTTTGTCTTACATTGTCAGACAAATGTAGTGAAACTTTTACTTACACCAATCTATGGGACGTAGAGAAGGATACATGTAAACCAGGAACACTTTTAAATTTGTACCTATGCAATCATTTAGTCACTGATCTTAAAAAAAAAAAAAAAAGGTTGAAATCAGCATTCATCTCTTAATTTCCTTTAAATATATAGACAGTATATGAAGTATTTCATTCTTTGCATTGGATGCTATAGTGAAATAGCTTAATAGAAAAATACATTGTTCTCTGTGCTATGGAAAAATAATGTGTTATTTTATATGAAGATGTTTTGTTCTTTGTCTCCTGTAACCCTCCTTATGTTTGGGAACAGCATATGATCTGGGGAAGGGATGAGCAGAGTGAGACAAAGGAGAAGCAAGTAGATACTTAGTAGCATTCACACCTTTTAATTTGTCTTTTCAGAGCTTTTAAGAAGTTGTATTTAAAAGAAAGATGTTCCCTTGACAAAATAAAATATCTCATTTAGCTTGGTGAATAATAAACTTAATCTGAAAAATCAGATAGCTGTGGTGGGTTACAGATGGAGAAATGATTAATCAGACCCATTTTACGTCAACAAAATTCATGTATTGGTTGTATAAGCACTTTGTAGGGGGAATAATACTGAAATGGGCCATTCTGAATGTCTTTGAACTGGTGAAATGACCTTTGTTTGGTATTTGCAATACTGTGAAGACTGAATGTTTGAAGAGAACATCTTTGTAGTAGAAAAAAAAAATAATGTGGAAAAAAGTCTATCTCCATCTGACAGAACCTCCTTAATAGGTATCGTCTTCACAGTCTCTCCTGTAATAGTCAATGCTCTATAGAAGATATTTGATAGAAGCATAGAATGGTTTGAGTTGGAAGGGACCTTAAGATCATCCAGTTCCAACCCCCCTGCCATCAGCAGGGACACCTTCCACTAGACCAGGTTGCTCAAAGCCTCATCCAGCCTGGCCTTCAACACTTCCAGAGAGGGGGCATCTACAACTTCTCTGGGCAACCTTGGCCAGTGTCTCACCACCCTCACAGTGAAGAATTTCTTCCTAATATCTAATCTAAACCTATCCTCTTCCAGTTTGAAGCCATTGCCCCTTGTTCTATCACTTCCTGCCCTTGTAAAAAGTCCCTCCTCAGCCTTCCTGTAGCCCCTTCAGGTACTGGAAAGCTGCTCTAAGACCTCCCTGGAGCCTTCTGTTCTCCAGGCTGAACAGCCCCAACTCTCTCATTTAGTAAACTTAATTATATAGACAGATGTTACATTATGTCTTGTGACATTTCCTGTAACACAAGAAGCAATCCAAAATGTAACTATCCACTCTTTTGTGCAGTTCATGGATACAGCTGTACAGTCATGTTTGCTGCCTCAAACCTAGCAAGACACGTAGGGAGCTCATCCTGGTGCCCAGTGCAGCTTTGCAAGCTGGTTGTCCTCCCTGGGCTGCAGTGCTACGGCTGCGCTAGCGAGACAGATGTGCAGTCCACTGCCAAGAAGGGTGTTCCAGCCTCCCAAAATGCTTGGCCATGCACTCCTACCTTCTTCTTTCAGCCACAGTGCCTCTTCCAGCAGCGATGTCTCCCTGTTTGAAGCATTTGGCAGCGTACAGGCAAACAGTGGGGTTTCATTCCCTGTATAGCTGAGCTTATCTAACACTTTTCATCTTAGCTATATGTGCTCCTGCCATCTGCCTTGCATTGCTTTGGGTACTTATCTTACTCCTTGGTGAATTGGTGTAGCACACAAAATTAGTAGAAAAGCACTCAGCAGCAAAATCAGTAGTTTTCTGCCTGGCTATCACAGGCAGGATAAGCTCATCAACAGCCAAAACAAGTGTCAGAAAAGCAACAGGAAAAGCGACTTGGTTAACACCATCTTGTTGTTTTAATTCAGGCAAGAAACCGTAGAAGAAGAGAGACGAGACGTGACCTCTTTGAAAAGTTTGTTAATATACTGTCTTGAAATAATTACTTGAGAGAAAATACCTTTCAAGACCAGTGAAGTCACTAAGACTTTTATGTCTGTTAGCTATAATAAGGAAAAAAAAAGTCCCTCAGACATCTGTTTTCTAAAGAATCCATCTTTTGGCTATCAAACCAGTTCTTAGAACGAACCATGTAGCAGGATATGATCCTATCCAGAAGAAATACTGTTTCTTCCCTGTAAAAATCTGTTAAGTATTAAGTATTGTATTACCTCATCTCTTAAGTAACCTAAAGTTTGGCACACACATGCCTGTCAGCATAAATTACTTTGGTTCAGTCAAATTCAGCCCCTGCCTTTCTTTCTCAATTCTGTTTTTTCTAGAGGTTCTAACATTGCATTGAATACAGTTTTCTAACAGACTAGATGCTTGACAATACAATAACTAGAGTTAAGAACTTCCTTCCTTAAATATTTATGCAGGCCACTCTTAAGTGCTTGTGAATATAAATTGCCCAATAATAAGTCAGAGTTTATACAGTATAGTTCTTTAAATCTAGAAGCCAAGGTACTTCACTGGTTATGATACTCTGAAAACTCAAACTCAACTGTCTGTTAAATTGAATATTTCAGCTTTAAATAATTTCAGAGCTACAATCTGTATCTTTATTTTTCTGAGGATGCGAGTTCCTTGGAGAGAAAAAAGATAAAAGCAATATAGAAAATGTTAAGTTGTGGGGATTTTGCCCAGTTATCCATAATATTCTTACTTTCCATGTGTAGTTAGCCATATAATACAGAAATGAGATACTAAGGTGAGAAAACAAAAATGTAGCCATTTCTTTTATAACTGATCTGCAGTCACAGCAGAAAATCTCCTTTCTGATGGGTAATTGCAGGGAAGGACAAGTATTATTTGGTCCCATTGACTTAACTGTAATTACTCCTTTCTCAACATTTTTGTTTTAATTCTACCTATAAATAGTAAATTCAAGTTTAATAATGTAGTGAGAGATGTATCATAATAAGTAAACACAAATACTTCAGTCAGTAAGGAACTATTTAAGCTTATGACTCAAAATATGATCCCAAGCAACCTCTCTGGATTAGCAAAACTTCTTACTCGTTCCATGTTGTATCACTGCAAACCGTAGTTAAGTTGTATCTATGATTACTGATTGTTTGCTTGTGTTTGTAGATGCTAATATCCACCAACATCCTGATTTGTCATTTTTAGCCTAAATGCTGATCTCTCTGCTCTCTCCTGTTCAAGAGCATTGTTTATCTATCCTTTCACTGTCAGCTCTGAGTGCCAGAGCCTTTGTTTCTTCTGAGTGATGCTGCATGTACTAAGAAAAGAGTGGAGTTTTTTCCTTCTGGTGTAGTTTTCCTCGCCCTGAACAGCATAAGCTAAGCTGCCAAAAAAGCACTTGTTAGCATAGTGACACCCACAGTGGGGGTTTACTGACGTCACTGTGTTTGGAGAAGATGGCTTTTTCTTTTGAAATGGCTTTGTTAAATCAGTCTTCATGTCTGTCTGATACTTGATTACATGTCTTCACCCCCTTTCACAATTATTTACTGACATCAAACAGTACAAAATAGTACTTTTCCTGTATTACTATTCCATAGATATTATTCCTGTTTTGTTGAAGCCATTCAGTATGTGCTGAAACACTTCTGTTCAATGTTCATTCTCTTTTGTCTTCTCCCTCTCCCATCCTCAAAACACCCTGCAAGTCTTGTTGAATATGTCTTTGAGACCCAGATATAAATATGGAGCCACATATAAATATGGATTTATTTTTCTTACATTTACCTATTAGTTTCTGATAATTCTTTCCCATTTGGATCATTTGCTGTGGAAAGAGATCTCTTGCTCACATCGAGTGGAGTGATTTGATGCACAAAGTTAAAGGAGAGCCCAGAAGTTTATTTGAATGTCAGTCATTCAGCCTCTACACCACCAACAAAGAATGATAAACAGAAACACTTGGCTCTGCTGTGTATAACCACAGTAACCAGTGATGCAGCATAGAGATGGCAGAACAATTCTGTGATTCTGGAGTTTGCTGGTTTTAAATTAAGATCTACAGTGGAAGGTGCTATGATGGTGTGAATCGAACACTGTGCCAAGTCTTGGCTTTGCCACTTACCTGATGAATGTCCTTAGAGATGCCACTCTACTTCTGCACCACAGATTTTCCATCTGTAAAATGGCAACTGCTTCTCTGCTGTAAAGCACCTTGAGAAAGGTTGATATCAAGTGCTATATAAGGGTGTACTATTAATTGCATATATTAATGCCCGTGTTTAGGATTATTTGCAAGGTAGTCCTTACATTTACTTGTAAATTCTTGAGCACTGACTGAAAACTGAAATTTTAACACCCTTTTTTCACTTGATAATTGTGGGAAATAATTGAGTTTTTCATTCACTTTCCTGTTTGGAAAATTCCTTTACTTTGCAGTAGAACACTGTGTAATACAGTTTTGAGGTGGAAGGGAGGAGGTGATCCAGTTTTTTCTTTCCTATAACCTTGAGAAGGAACCTAGGCGGAAATGTTTGGTCTTGGGAAGTTTAAAGCCTTGGGAGGGGGTGGGGAAGAAAAGAAAAAAAAACACTTTTAAATTGCCTAGGAGTTTAGCATAGCATTTCTTTGCTGATACTTGGAAACTACAGAAAAAAAATGACTTGAGTATAAGCAGTTCCACCACATGTCCTCCCCCACAAAAGTCTACATAAAAACTGGTTCTACATTGAGATTTCTTTCTCTAAATGTTATGGTTGTCAGAAATATTCCCCTCTCTTTTCTGCTAGCAGAAAACATCAGATGTATCTAACCTCTGCATTTAATAGTGATGCATGAGAAAAAAAAAACCCACTGTGTTTAAAAATAATGCTGACGCATATAGCCAAAGAAATATTCTTGTTAGATTATGGCTAAGAATGTTTTCATTTGCAATAAGTTTGACGTGTGTGTACGCTTTCACGTCGGCAGCTCAGGAATAATCACTGAAAGCAAAGGACTATTTTGAGCTACTTATATTAATAGAGTGAACTCTGGAGGACTTTTATAACATTACGAAGTATCAAGTAGAGAATTGGATCATCACAACTATGTCAGGAAGAGGCATGGGGAAAAAAAAAAATCAACATCCCTTGTTGACATGGAAAGTGCATGAGCATTTCATTCGAACCCACGTACAGTATGCAGAGGGCACTGGTGTCTTGCTGTTTGTGAGTGATAGGTTTGCAATTGTGTACTTGTCAATTCTTCTCTACGGAGAATTCATAGCAAGAGTAGGGTGGACGTGGGAGGTGCATTTAAAATTAAGTGTCCAATATTATTAGTAGTGGGTAGTATTTTATAAGGACCTTATGGTTTTCAGTCTTTATGTATTTGCTGGGGTTCTGTCCCAAATAGTTGTTGGCCTGTTGGAAATTCATGGCTTAAATTTGTTGAGGAAGTGTAGAGTTGTTGGATGCCCCTCCCTGGAAGTGTTCAAGGACAGGTTGGATGAGGCTTTGAGCAACCTGGTCTAGTGGAAGATGTCCCTGCTCATGGCAGGGGGGTTGCAGCTAAATAATCTTTAAGGTCCCTTCCAACCCAAACCATTCTATGATTCTATTTAAGGCTCTTTTTCAAGATGGGGTAATCAAAAATGCTTACTGCTATATATGTAGATAGTCTACTTGGAATTAAGAGTATTTTTAAGAGGAGCAGTCATTCTTGTGCTCTTGGTCAGTTGTGTATGTGATCGCCTTTTTACAGACAAATTAAGCACTTGAACTGGACAGTTATAGAAGTGAATAATGCATTTGCAAAAAAGTTGCAGAACAGTGTGAAAGGTTAATTTGACATCTTAAAATAAATTTTTGTTGTTGGTTTGGTTTTATACAGAGATGTAATCTTAAAGAATTATATCTCTTCCTCTTCTTTCCTCCCATACAAAAAAATGTTGATCAAAATGTTTTAGGGTTTTTGTGGTTTTTTTCTAGTAAACTGGAAAAAAAATGTCACTATATGAGCTGGATGTTCAGTTCATGTCCCAGTGCAGAAAAAGATACAGCTTCTTGAAATTTTGAAATTTTAAAAAGAAGACAGCTAATAGAACTGCATACATTGAGTACTTGTGTAAGTACTGTAAAGCAAGTAACTGTTCTAAAAATATCATTACTTTTGTGGCACAGTTCCTTAAGTCAGCAGCTATTTTCCCCCTTTAAAATTAGGGAAGCCACAGTTAGTTTCCACAAAATACATGCCAGCCAAAGTGATAACATACCAGAGAAACCTAATTGGTGCCAGTGACCATGAAAAGTTGTTTGCTTTCTTTAAAGGAGCTCATTATATGTTAAATTCAGCAGTATTGTGAATCACAAGTTGGTCAGCAATGTAATCTGCTGCCATTTTTAAAGATGGCTTTAGAAATTGTCTGAATTTCTGGCTGTTCACATCTGGAAGCTTTAGCTCTTGGAGAGCCACTGAATATTTTTACTGTTTGAATGTCTAGCCCTCCAGAAACTGAACATCTACTTTTTCAGAGTCCAGCTTTATTTCGTCTTATGCACATTTTTTCTAGGGGTTTAATTTGGACTTGGCTTAAAAAATTTACCCCATGTTATAAACGCTTTTAAAATAGTAAAGAAATAGAGAAGTGTGGACACACGCTCACTCTCCAACAAAAAAAAACAAAACCAACCAACAAAAAAAAACCCAAAACCAAAAAACCAAGCTGAACAAAACACTACTACCACCCCCAAAACAAAACCAAACAAAACAAAAACAGAACAAAAAACCCTAAAACAACACAAAACCAGCCTGTCCTTGATTATTGTGAAAATATGTCCTGGATTTTCCTCTCAAATACAAGGTATTGGTGTAAAATATCTGGAGAGAGATTCACCGAAAGAACCCTGATAAACACAAATATATTTACTTTTGATTCTTTGTTAGTGTTTTTTAATGAATGTGTTGTTGATATTATAGCTTTATATATAGCATATAGCTAATATATCATATTTCCTTTCCAGAGTGGAGAAGTTAACCACTGAAAATACACCACCTCGAGAAGCAAATAATATTTCAAACCATCGGGTGCTAATTAAGCCAGAGGCACAAAATAACCAGAAAAACAAAGAAGTAAACAAAAATGAGGAGAAGAAAGCTTTGGAAGCTGAAAAATATGGATTCCAGAAAGTTGGGCAAGATAAACCATTAACAAAAATTAACAGTGTAAAGCTAAATCCGTTGGGATCCGAATACAGGACTTTGCCTATAACCATGATTCAAGCTGGACACTTCAGACCAGTTCATTTAAATGGGTCTGAGAATAAAGCTGTTGGTGTTGTCCTGGCAGACGCTGGAGATGGAGGTCAGCACAATGCGGTTCAGTCACATATGGAGTCCGAACGAGTTATGCAGAGAACCAATTCAATGCTGCAGTTGGAACAGTGGATTAAAGTACAAAGAGGAAAAGGACAAGAAGAGGAAACAAGAGGGTAAGTACTATGTGATTTTTTTTATTTTTTTTTTCTAGACTTTCTAGAAAATAATACTTAGATTTGTAGATTCTGTAGGTTTTGGACTATATTACATAAGTATATAATTCATTGTCCTCTGTAAGAAGTGCCTGGATGACTGCTCAGAACAGATCTATTACAGTTTCTCTTTTATTAACATTTGAGTGGTTATTAATAAATTAAACTATATTAATAACTTAATGAGTAAAAATGGCCAGAAACCCTTTTTGGGTGTTAGAAATTTCTCTATCCTAGCAGAGAGAAGGTGTCATCAATCATAACAATTCTTTTTCCTCTTAAAATCTGTTCTTGAAATTGCCCTGTCTTCTGCTTTTTTTTTATTCACAAATTCTTGTAATAAAATTTTATTTTTAATTCTTCAAAAATATTCCAGGAAGCCTTTAAAATTTAAACAATCTTTAATTGAACAGAGAGAGAAAAGCTTTACCTAAGAGTAAGTCATAGAAATCTAACTAACTTGATACTTAAAGCTTCTCTTCTCATGAAATTCAACATCTCCCAGTTCTAATATTGAGTTCCACTGCTTATTCATGAAGCTTTAAAATTATGTGTGAATGATACTGAATCTTATGCTGGTATCAATTTTTCTGTCTGACAGATGTATGGGGACATTGCTTCCAGGCAACCTTACAGACAAGCAGGTCTAGCAGTAAAATATAAAAGTTTTTAATATTGCATTAGATAGGAAGTACCAGAGATGCTGTCACAGGAGATATTCTGAAGAGCTGGAAATTAGGGAGTTTGCGTATAGATAGGTGACAGAGCGGAGCTTTAGATAGAACCAAGTTCAGAAAATGTGTTTTCTGCAAATTTCAAACTATGGGGGTTGGGGGTTTTTTGCAAAAACTTGAAAACTTTACATTAGTTTGACTTACACTTTCCAAAATAGATTGAACATTTCCTCATTGCCTTTAATCCTTCGTTAAATATAATTAGGAATTGTTAATGCATTGTTTCATGAAGTACTTGACAGAAGTAGTTTGAGCAAGTTTGAGTTTGCAGTACAGAGAGCAGCTTGCACACTGACATTTATTTTATTACGCATGCTTGCCAAATGAGAACTGAGAAGGTTCTTTGATGCAATTAGATTTTTTTAAATTAAACTCTAAAACTTGCAACCAAACAGGTGAAATTTGAGTAGATGTGCCATTTTTCAGTTGCAAACAAGTACATAAACCCTAAAACTGATTTCATTGAGGGAACCAAATAGAGCGAAGGACTGTTAACAATATGTTACTAATTAACAAGATTTTAGTCTTGACTATAGAGGCCACTTGTTGCTAAAATAAGGGTGGCACTGACAGCACAAACTATGCTTTCAACTGTAGTTCTATATGAAGGTAGCAAATGGAAAAAGAATTGGCCTTGAGCTATCTTTTTTGCTTTGCATGGAAGTGGCCTGGAATAATGATCCAAATTTCTACTGTACAGTGATGTCTTTTTTCATTTAAATTTTAAATTTTATTTTTTGTTCAGATTACCAGTTTCGAGCTGGAGACAAAAATTTAAGTAGAGTTGAAGTTGGTGAATCAGGAAGAAGCTCCAGTGTACCTTAAAGCTGAAGGCTGGGGTGAGGGGCTAGTAAGACTGTTTGTAGTAAGACTTGTTCAACTCATAACTTGAATTTTTGAGAAAAGTAGTTTTCACTTAAGGGGGGAAAGCTGCTGACTTTTAACTAAGATGCTTTCCACTGCATCTGTCTCTCTAATGTGTTAGAGAAATCATGGAGGACCAAACTGAGTATCTTTAGTGTATCAGACTGAAAAAAAAATTAGGACTTTTAAGAATACTAAAATGTTAACAAACAGGCTCAATTAAATAACTATATATAAAATAGGCGTTGTTCTCTGTATGGAATGAAACTATTCTCAGTATGGAATGAAAAGAGTTCACTGTAAAACTACTAATATTTTAGAGTAACATGCTGACCATGCTGACCTCTTAGTAGTTTGATTTCATGAGAAATTAATGACAGCAATGCAGTTTTTGATTCCTGAAGCTGTTATTTTCCATTTCCCTGCATCTAGACATGTAGCTTTGCGAGAGCCACATGAATAAAGACAACTGATGCCTTGAGGAAGACAAACTATTTTTTTTTTAACCAAAAATAAAAACATTCCACTTCAGTATCATTTTATTAGATTAATTTTGTGCAAGTCAGTTATGAGTAAATATTTTCACCAGTAGTGGTTCACTTGAGTGGTCTTTCTCAAATGTTAAAATATACAGAAAGGTTACATGGTACTACATGAGGTTTTTTTGGTGCTGCTAACCCAGGGTATGATCCTCTGTCTCCCTACCTTGCCCATGTAAGCATTGTCCTAAATAATAAATGCCTGCTCTACAGCACCAGGTCTCTGTCTTCACTCTGCCACCCTTTGCTTGATTACCATCTGAAAGTTCTGCATTCTGGGCCAGCTGGTATTTGGATTCTTTAGGATGAAAGGCTATTTTGAAGTTTCAATCTGAGGATATTCATAACGTTGCAAAACTGAACCCCTAAAGGTTTAGCAGCAAAGTTGCTTTCCCAAATAGTCCAACTTGTACATCAGAACCAGTATTGCTACCCAACAGTAATCCTGGAGACAACCTCTAAATGTGTCTATAAACTCATGTGGAAGCCTTTTGTTCATATGGAAACATTTATAGGAACCTATCTGTGATGAGTTGCAGAAATATTTTGCAGCTTCATGGTGTGGATGAGCACTTCAGTGGCTGCAGCAGTCTCCTCTAGTGTGCAAGGCAGCTATAAGCTGTGATATGGTCTAGAGTTGGGGACTATTAATGTTTATAAATATATAAAGGGTGAGTGTCACAAGGATGGAGCCAGACTCTTCTTGGTGACAACCAATGATAGGACAAGGGGCAATGGGTGCAAGCTGGAACACAGGAGGTTCCACTTACACTTGAGAAGAAACTTCTTTACAGTGAGGGTGATAGTGCACTGGGACAGGCTGCCCAGGGAGGTTGTGGAGTCTCCTTCTCTGGAGACATTCAACACCTGCCTGGATGCCTTCCTGTGTGATCTCATTTAGGTTCCTGCTCCGGCAGGGGGATTGGACTGGATGATCTTTTGAGGTCCCTTCCAATCCCTGACATTCTGTGATTCTGTGATTATTATTTTTTTATTTGACTAGAATGACATTTTTGAAAGTATCAACAGGACATTGGTGAATCTGTTCTGATTTTTATCAAATTATGTAAAAACAAGGCTTAATATTGAGGTGGTTGGACTTTTTACAGTTTTTATGGTTTACCAATAGAAGATGAATATGTTATCTTCCTAAGTGTTCTAGAATGTAAGTAATTGCATGCAGGCTTTAAATCGCTATCTTTACATAGTAAGAACTTCAGGCAGCTTTTTTTCAAGTGTTCAGGGATATTTAAAGGAGGCAACAGGAGTATACTGCCCGTTTGGTTAATAAAGTGGGAGAGAAGCTTCAGTGAGAGAGGTATATCTAGCTACTGGATATCTTAATGAAAATATCAAGCTTTGCCATACCCATTTGTGAACAGCTAAGATAATACTTTGGAAGTTAGAAACTGAACCCAGAAGTGTCTTGGTTGTTTGGGTTCTTTTAAATATGGAGATGGAGAGAAGACCTTACCATTAGTGGTATGTCATATGAAGAAAATGTAGAAGTATTGAAGCAGATTTTGCAGCAAAAGAATGAGATTTAGAATCCATTTCCCCTTTTTTGTAAGTTATTTTTTTGGGAACAAAAAGTTGCCCAGTCTACAAGGAGATGAAGTTTTATCTTCATTAATTCTTGGAAAGCTTCAGAAACAGTAGCAAATTTTGTATGTAAAGCTTTTTATAGCAGTTTTCATCACCAAAATGTTACAGGTAATCATAAATATTTTCATTGAAAAGTGGCTTTTATCATCATCGATTTCCTTGATAGTTATTTCATAAGGATCTAACATAGTGCTGGCTTACCTTACCATTTGCCCTCCATCATTTCTTTAATGTTTTTGTGGCACTGAAATAATGCCAAATGGTCTTCAGATTCTGGTGCCTCGTGGTAGCAGGGTTTTTCTTTTGAATTAGTCTGGGGTGTAGTTAGAAGCTGCTGCCCTCCAATGGCTGAATTATGACCAATTTGAGCTCAGTTTTGTTGTCTCTGGGCAAGCATCTATCATAGATGTGATCAGCAGCAAAAAGCTTTAAGAGATGCTCATCTGAATTTTAGATAAGGGTTTGAATGAATCAATGTTTATGACCTAGATTTTGTCCTCTGAAATAAAACAAGAAATGCTTTGTCATACTTAAGCACGCATAGATTCTCACTGTGGAAAAATTTGCATTTCAACTAATGCTGAAAGTTGCTAAATGACTGTAGCGCTCCAGAATTTTAATGTGGCATCAAATTAAAGAATAAGCCATTGAATTCATAACCAAGTTGAAAAGCAATAAAATATAGCTGAGTGGTGCTGTTGACACAGCTGAGGGATGGGATGCCATCCAGAGAGACCTGGAGAAGCTCGGGAAGTGGCCCCATTTGAACCTCATGAGGTTCAACAAGGCCAAGTGCAAGGTCCTGCACCTGGGCCAGGGCAATTCCCAGTATCAATACAGGCTGGGGGATGAAGGCATTGAGAGCAGCTCTGTGGAGAGGGACTTGGGAGTTTTGCTGGATGAAAAGCTGGACATGAGCCAGCAATGTGGGCCTGCAGCCCAGAGGGCAATAACCGTGTCCTGGGCTGCATCAAGAGAAGCGTGTCCAGCAGGTCGAGGGAGGTGATTCTGCCCCTCTACTCGGCTCTCTTGAGACTCCACCTGCAGTGCTGTGTCCAGCTCTGGAGTCCTCAGCACAAGAAAGGTGTAGACCTGTTGGAGCAGGTCCAGAGGAGGGCCACAAAAGTGATCAGAGGGCTGGAACAGCTCTCCTATGAGGAAAGACTGAGGGGTTTTTCAGCCTGGAGAAAATAAGGCTCCAGGGAGACCTTATTGTGGCCTTTCAGTACTTAAAGGGAGCTTGTAAAAAAGATGGGGACAAACTTTAGCAGGGCCTGTAGTGGTAGGGCAAGGGGTAATGGTTTTAAACTAAAAGAGGGGAGATTTAAACTAAATATAAGGATGAAACTGGTTGGTGAAAAAATGGTACAGGTTGCCCAGAGAGGTGGTAGAAGCCCCATTCCTGGAAACATTCAAGGTCAGGCTGGATGGGGCTCTGAGCAACCTGATCTAGTTGGAGATGCCCCTGCTCCCTGCAGGGGGGTTGGTCTAGATGACCTTTAAAGGTCCCTTCCAAACCAAACCATTCTATGATTCTGTGATTATTATCAAAGAAAGAAGTACTTTGCTGTTTGTTTCACTTGAATAGCTGATATGAACGGCTTGTCCTTGACAATTGCAAAATACAGTTTCATTAGACAATTATTGCTATTTTTCCTCAGTCTGCTGTTAAAAAAAAATTAACTCTTTTCTGTCCATACTAATTGCTCAAGGTTTTCTTGGAGAAACAACAAGAGATCTTTTCGATTTTAAAAAAGAGAACATTTAAAATGGGCTTATGTAGAAACAGTATAGAACTTCAAAGCTTTCAAAACTTTGACCTGTCCAGCATATGGACACATTACAACATGTGATCTAAACCTGACACTACTAGACTGTTCAACTAGTAAAAAGATGAAATGTGAATTATATAATCAAGCAGCTAATCAGAGATAGGATCCAGTTTTGGCTGCTACAGTACATTCAATCAGTATAGTTGATTCTTTAATTGTCATCTTGATTTTTCTTGCATGTTTTTAAAATGACACTTGTAATATTAAAAAAAGAAAAAAAAAGAGAGTAAGAATTAGCCAGATCAACCTAAGCAATATTGAAAAACTTTATATTGCCATAATATTAATGCTGTCCACTACTAAACAGAAAATTTATGTTTCAGCGTAATCTCATATCAGACATTACCAAGAAACATGCCAAGCCATCGACCTCAAGTTTTACCCCGGTACCCAGAAGGCTACAGAACACTGCCGAGAAACAGCAAAGCACGGCCGGAGAGCCTCTGCAGCGTAACGCCGTCGGCTTACGACAGAGCCATAGGACCAGTAACAGCCGAAGAAAAACGCAGGTCAATGCGGGATGACACAATGTGGCAGCTCTATGAATGGCAGCAACGTCAGTTTTACAATAAGCAAACAACTCTTAATAGGCACAGTACTTTAAGTAGCCCAAAAACTATGATTAATATTTCTGATCAGACGATGCATTCTATTCCCACCTCACCTTCTCATGGTTCAATCGCTGGTTTCCAAGGATATTCCCCACAGCGGACCTACAGATCAGAAGTATCTTCACCAGTGCAAAGGGGAGATATAACTATTGATCGCAGACACAGGACACATCATACTAAGGTAAAAAACATTTTTTAATTGTTAAAAATCTTATTTATAAGGGTTTTTAGTAGAAAGTGTACCATTACTGTAAAACTCATGTTGCACTATAGTACATTTTATTGTAATGTAAATAAATTACATCTGTGTTTTCATAAAAAGCATTTAAAAATCTAAAGGTTGTATAAAGATATTCCTCTAATACACTAGGTGAAAACTTGTTCTATTATTATCATCCACGATACCAGGTTTCTCTAAAGGAAAGAAAAGGAGTCAATAGACAAATTGTTCAGAATAGTTTGTTGTATGTACAGACATCCTTCTCCCTTCTAGCTTTTTTTAGCTGGAACTCTAAGAGGACTGAAAATCCCAGATTTCCTTCCACGTGCTGTTTTCTGTTCTTCAGACACAAGTTTGGCTGCTTTGGGTTCCAGCAGAAAGCTGAGTGTAGTCATTTCTTTTGATGCCTTTGAGTTATTAGGGAGATCACTAAGGATAACCAGAGTCTATTTGCACACAACCTTAGCACCTGACTATTGTAACTCTGCTAGTCTTCATCAGTGAAAGAGAGAGACAAAGAATTACCTGGGTGCCATATGTGGCTCTGCCACACCCATCATGCTTGTGTCATGCATATTTTTTAATACATTGAACAATATATAAAAATTACTCTTTAAATTGAACGTAAGACTAGAGATTTTATAAAACGCTCCTGAACCTTTTTGCTAAATCCTTATCTTAGATGTTTTTGTGTCCCTTGATGCAGTTTAAACATCTTACAGTCCTCTTTTTGGAAAGTTCTTAGGTCATTTTCAACAAAAGAGTCATTTTGACTTAGCTGCACTGGAAGTTTAATAATCAGTGCTTATCACAAATCTGAGAAGTACCACTAGGATCAGGTGCTGCAGAGCATGTGCTTACTTGGCCTTTCAGGCAGGTTTGCTTTCTCATATTTTTTCCTTGTGGAACAATTTATGCTAGTATTTCTTATTTAGCTTCTTTTACACAGGATTCTTATTTACCTTCAGTTTTTCATGCTTTTTGGTTTGTGGGGTTTTTTTTTTAGTTACACAACAGCTTTTTCCATTAACTTAGAAACACAAACCTGTTCTTAAGAGGTGGGTAATTTGAAGGATGTTTGAAATCAGTAGGATAAGTTTAGGATTTAAACTCCATCTATATAGAGATCTTAGGGTTTTTTTAAATAGCTTTTAGTGATGGGTGAAAAAGTGGAATTGTTGTTGTTTACATGGGCTATGATAAGGGCAACAGCTGCAAGGAAGGACTGCTAATTAAATTAATAAAAGAAAGCTGGGTTATTTCTAGAAATTAGAGGTAGCCTACTCGAGTCTCCTAGATGGTCCGTCAGCAGGGAGCATGACTGGCCAAGACTGGCACAAATCATACCAAATTTGCCATGAGCATGAAGTTGGCTTGACTATTTTTTTAGCATTTAATATTTGTTGAGTCTTTAGATAACTATGGATCATACTGTGCTATTTTGTTTTCATACAGCATGTCTTTGTGCCTGACAGAAGGTCAATGCCAGCAGGTCTGAGTTTACAGCCTGTTACTCCTCAGAGCCTCCAAGGCAAAACAGTGAGTTGGATTTTTATTTGGTACATCAGTTTTTCCTTAAGAATAATTCTTTAAGGATGAAGAGGCAACACCGAAGTCTTATTCTATTTGAAGGCTGCATTAAATGTAGCCTTTATTTTAATCATTAAGTATTTTTAAAGCAAATAAAGTAGTACTCTGTGGTGACATTGAATTCTGCAAATATCATGTAGCTGCTGACTGCAGATTTTCTTTAGGAAATACAGATTTTTATTGTTTTTTCTTAATCATCTTTGATGCATTAAAGAAATACCTGGTGGAGGGTAGAATACATAACAGAACACTTATTTCTCCATTAAGTATTTAGAAAATCCTAGAAATAAGTTTACCTTTTTTGGAAAGCTTGAGGATACTCAAACTGCATTTGGTAAAATTATGCCCTTTGTGACATCTCCCATTTTCTGTGATAAGATTTGAAACTCTCATTGAAGGTATTTCATCAAAGTAATACTGGGTATACTGTCCACTTTCCTAATTGACATGTGACTCTTAGCCAGAACCTAAGAAATTGTCCTAAATTTACTACGTTTATTTACCAGTTTTTGTCTCATTTCTGTAATTTTTCTCTGACCATCTGAAATTGCTGTTTGAGACAGTTATGGATTGAAAATACAGAGTTTGAATCATACTGTGGGCAACAGCTCCCCAGTCAATCTTTCCACTGCCTCAACCCCTGTTTCTTGCACTTCCCAGCGTGAATCCCCGAGACCTTCAGCATCTTACGGGTTGGCCTTTGCTGCTATTGCCTTATCTCTGCACCTTGCCTTCTGCAGATATTTCTTTGTGTTCATGGTCCCATCAGCTCTCCTGGGCTTTGCTGCTGGAGCTGGGCCAGAGTAGGGTAGCAGGCAAAGAGGTCCAAGCTTCTGCTTGTAGAAACCAGAAGTCCTGCCCATAGCACAAGTGTTGTAGGGACCAGACGAGGAAACCTGTGGGTAGCTCTTTACACAAAATTCTGTGTTGTGGTTATTGCAAGAGTCCTGAGAGCTGTATGAAAAGCATAGCACTTACAGCAACGTCAGCAATGTTTGCAACATTATCAGTGTCTAGAGAGAAGTACGAATTACTGCTTGATGGGCTCCTCCATGGAAAAAAAGTTTGCTTGCAAACATTGTATTTAAGTGCCATTAAATAGTTTATTCCTAATGCACTAAAACTGAGCTTTTGCAGAACATATCGAGAAGAGTTTTGATCTTGAAAAAGTGATTCACTCTTCCTTTTGTTTGAAGATGCTACTTTCAGTTCTCTCATGTCTAAAAAGAAGTTTTCTTGTGCTTTGAAATGATATTAGTTTTCAGACTGAAAGCGTTGTCACTGATTCTTGGGGAGAACTTAAAAATGCCTTGTCTAGCAGTGTAGATTCTTATGCTTACTTTCTGAAATTAAATATTTTAAAACCAGGTATTGAAAGAGCACTATAAGAGGAAGATTGGCCATTAGCCAGTTTGGCTTTGATGTTGGTTTTTCCTCAGAGCAGATGGTTTTGACAAGTGAAGCTATGTGGAAATCCCTTGCTCCCTCTTGTGGGCTACTTTGGTATGAGCTCAAAACTGTGTCAGTGCCACCCTTCTCCTTAGAGATTTTTCTTCTTTATTCTAAGAAACTGGTATTCATTTTTCAGTAATTTAATATTTGGTTCTCTGGAGCTTTTTTCTCTTCTTTGCTTTGGGAAAATTCTGTGACTGTGGGAGAGAGCAAGTGGGCTTTTAGGGGGGTTTTGGTGTTTGCGTTTGGTGGGGTTTTTTAACTCGCAGAACTTGTGAGAAAATTAAAATGCTGGATGAATATTTAACCTCTTATAAGATTGACTTCTGGAGAAGTGTAAGAAACAGAAGCAAATAGGAGCATAAAAATATTTGTAATGGTATGTGTTTTATTTTCTTTGAAGTATTGCTAATAGAATTGGTTCCCAGGAATGGTTCAGGTAGTTTCCCAAACTGAGCTAAACTGATCTACATGGAATTACCTGACAAATACACATTTGAGTGTGACTGTATTTCCATTCTATATAATCTGGGGTTTTAAATACTATTCTTTGTGCCTTCCTAATGCTGTATTGTACTTCTTAGTCGTAAAAGTAAAGCAATAAATTAACTGGTAGCCTCAGACCTGTGGAAGGTGGGACAGAAAATTATTTTTTGTCACACTTGTGAAGTTTTGTTTTGTGAAAAATGATTGTTTCTCATGTAGGTCAGTTATCGTGGGGTTATTTTATTTACTCTGAATTTTGAAGAATTATTTTAGAAAATAAATTTTCTTGAGGGAATTGTTTTATTCTTTCACTGAGCTCAGATGTCTCTCCATGTACAGATAATGATATCCTAAAGGCTGGAATTGTCTCCCACTTCACTTAAATCAATCTCATCAATTTCATATGCATGCCAAAAAAAGTTTTGAAGCTGGAGACTTTCTCCTGCAATATCCTCACTTTTTTGTCCTTTATACAGAATGTTACAATATTATGGTGTTTTAAGTAGTTAAAACAACCCTTCATTATATATTTGAAAGTGGTCAATTTGGGGAAAAATGATGTATCTTTTGCTGTATCGCTATAGAAAGTTTTTGTAAGAAAGATACTAAGAACCCTTATTTTACTTAAGTGTTGTTTAGGAAACCAATTAACCTTTTTTCTACTCTTTGGCTTCTCACACTGCACTCCTTCAGCCAGAGGAGCTCACGCTGCTGCTAATAAAGCTGAGACGGCAGCAAGCTGAACTGAGTAGTATCCGGGAACACACACTAGCACAGCTCATGCAACTAAAACTTGAGGCCAGCAGCCCAAAGGTCAGCTATAAAGCAATGTGTGTCATGTACCATTCTCACTAACTTGTAGTCTTTCATTAATCAAAGTTTACCTTGTACCGATAGTGCAAAATTCTCTGACTACTATGGGAGTAGACTAGAGTAACATTGCTTCTTTGTATATGTGATGTTCTGCTATTAACCCTTTGAGGCTTTACTCATAGCTTTTTGATATTAGCCGAGTTAAAATTGCACAGGGATATTTTAAAATATGTTGTACTTAAGTTTAAAGTTAAAGGTTTTTAACCTTTTTGTGTTATAAACAAAATTAGTAATGATAGATCATTAGATTAATTTATTGTTCATACTGCCTTATATCAGATACAATCTTATTTGTATTCCGTGTACAAAAATCAGGACATTTAAAACACAGATTTATCAAAGGGTTTATAGTTGTCTGTGTAGTAGACATTTACATGAGCTTACTGTATTTTATATGTAAAGGCAAAATGTAATGTATTAGTTCATAGTTTGATTCCTGGCAAACTTTCATCACTTCTGTTTTGCGATCAAAACTTGTTAACAGTTCACCAAAAAAAACCCAGATAAAAGCAGTGTTGTAATTCTGCATAAAACAGAAAGATCACTGTCAAGTTTACCTCTTTTAAAGCTCTTTTCATGCATTCTGCACCTTCTGTCCCTTTCCTTTTTCCCCCTGACTGCTGCCTGCTAGAGTGAGATTCTTTCACATCACCTTCAAAGGAATGCCATATATTTGGATCATCAGGTGGGATTTGCAATTTTCTTGTGTATTTACATTTCTTAATGCATTTTGCCTGCTCCTATCAAGCTGGAAATATTTGGGGAGAAGGATTTTCAGTGTTTTTTATAAAGTTGGATATTTAATACATGATTTTTTTAAGTAGCACAGAATATCTTAATCGATAAGAAATTTGACATGTAATGGGAAAAAGTCAATTTGAAATTCACCGGAATACAGTAGGCACTCGCTAATTATTTTTTTCTATTCTTCATTTCCTTCTTACAATGACACTAACTGTAGCATTTTAACATCTTTAACCAAAGTTGTAATACATTTCCAAACTCATATGACACACATGCAATTTATAGAAAATTAGTACTTCTGATAATTTTCGTTTTCTAAATGAAGAATTGGGTGTTTCTACAGGACGTTAAATGAAAGGGCTGTCAAACATGAAAAAATGTTTTAAACAATTCATAGCATAATGAATTTTACTGAATTTCCTTTTACTGAATTATTTCTTAAAGATTTACAGAAGAATAAGGTTTTACTCCTTTACAACTTTGGATAACTTATGGAGTGAGGGTACAATTCTGTCTCCACTAACATAATTGATTGCCAAGTGAAGGATTGTGATATCACATACCTCTTCTTATGGCTTTGCTGCATGATCAAATGAGATTTCTGTACAAGTTGTATGTGAGAAGTTTTTAAATGGGAAACATTTGCTAGCACTTACAAGTGCCTAGAAGTAATATAAGCAACTTGGTATCCATTAGTTAAAAATATAAAAATCACTAGAGCTTTTTCTAATATTCTTTCTGCTAATGAAATTTTTCAGCCTTACACTTAAAGCCAACCATTCTTAGAACTTTTGTGTCCTACATGTTCCTGTGATAGGATTTCAATAATGAAAAAACACATATGCACATGGGGACACACACACACACACACACACACACACACACACACACACACACACGTACCCAGATGCTTGGTTAACCTGGTGACTTTATTTTTTTGGTTATCTCTTGAAAACAAGGTGTGAATTGTGATCAATTCAGTTAGATGGCAATGCATTTCTAAACATCACTGTCTTATCTTAAGGGACAGCAGGAGGTCCAAAATAGTAGGGAAAAACTGTTTACTAAATTAGGCCAAAATATTTCATCCAACTCAAATATTTCCAGTGTATAATGTTTTAGAATAAGGGAATAATTCTGTCTTCAACAATGTACTTCATTGCCAAGAAAGGACAACTGTCCATGTGAAGAGCAAAACTATGTACCATGCTGTTGCTTGATTAGCCAAGCTTGTGAATATAATAGATAGGATTAAATGGAGAGAATTGCCCGTGTACAACATGCAGAGTGGTAAAAAGGATTTTTTTTTTTGCTTGCATCAGATAAATTTTAGAAATGTAATGTGATGTGATAAACATTAATTAAAGGAAGTGTCTAAATCTTACAAATGTGCTATAATTGCCCCTACAAGAGGTGCAAGAAATCACTGCACTTCTTACAGTAAGAAATCATTATCAAGTATAAAATGTATTACCTTAGTCACAAAATCATGGAAGAGCAGGTTGAAATACTTATCCCAGTTTCTGATCAGTTTTTGTTTTTTCCCCTTATTTTATTATAAAGTTGCCACCTTCCTGTATGAAATAAATCCCCCTGAGAGTCTTACTGCTTTTGAGTACCACTGTTTCTAGGGGTTTTATCTCATTTATATCTTTGTGATATCATTTATATCTTTTTTATTACTTTGTCCATTACCAGTTTTCCTTTATGTTGAGAAGAAAAAAATCAAAGTTTCTTTTAGTCTAACTGAGGCCTTTCCTTCTTGTTATCCACATCTGTAACCAGCTTGCATAATCACATGCCCTCTCTGAATTTTAAGTGTCCAGTGTACTTAAATTAGTTATTTCCACTTGCATTTAATCTTTGCAAATACTGTCAAAACCTGCTTTGCCTGGAGCATGTGGTGGAACTCCAGTCCTGTTATCTTAAACTCTTGCCTTTTTGGTCTCAAACACTTCAGTACCATACATAACAAAAATTAGTAAGTTTGTACCCAGGTTGCACAGATGAATTTTCAGGCATTCTGAAGCTCAGGTGTAGGGAGGGTAACTTATGCTTTTGCAATAAGTTGTTGTCTGCTAGTTAGGTGGCTTTCTTATCAAGACTCAAGAATATCCCATAGCATTTTTTAAGTCATGCCTCTTTTTTGTACTGCTGTTTCCTTTTGAGATGCTTAGAAATTTTTGTGTTACACTTTTTGATGGTTTTGTATTATGCTTTCAGAATTTTTGTTGTTGTTGTTGGAGTTCAGAGATAGGGGGGGGGGAAAACATGGAAGAGACTGACTCATATATATCCAGCCATATGATTTCTTTGATGTCTCATGGCCAAAAGAATTATCATCGAACATCCTTTTTTTTAAAGTGAGGGTGTGAACCACTCTGTGGGCTCAGGGTTTGTAGGGAAGTGGGAGAGACACTCAGCTGCCTTTTAGGAGGGAGTTCTTTGAACATAGCTAGCAACGCTAGGCAGTGATGATTTGTTTGCCAACGTGGGACATGTTATAAGGGCACATATAATCTCAGTCTTCTGCATTATCAAATTTTAAGGGATCACTTATTGTGCATTACTAAATCCAAACCAGCACTCTCCTTAATGTATTTGCACCCAGAAATTGTAATGACAGCAGTGAAAAGTAGGAATAAAAGCTAGACACACTTTTTTTTTTCTTTCCCCTCCTTTGTAAACAAAGCCATGGCAGGACATCCCACTTGATTCTTTTTGTTACTCCAGAGAATGCCAGCAAACCAGTCTTTTATACACTTCTGAATTTTATGTTGATAGTAAAACTTTTCTTGGGCTGAAAAACCCTTTTCTACTGAGCTCAAGCTGTGTATGTCAAACTCTCCATGCGTGCTGTCATATTGATCTCGGCATATCCCAGGTTGGTTTGTCACAGTACAAGCTCTACTAAATTTCATTTAGTCTTCCCCAACGTCCCAGGAAATGGCTTTTTGGGGGGTTTTTAAGTGAATAGTTTAGGTGTTAAGTTGTTCATATACTTCTGCTGATACTTTCAGTTTTAATTTCTTTCAGTTTTCAAAGGGTGCATAAAAATAAACAGAACTTGAACAAGAAGTTGTCAAATAAAGGAGTGAAGGTCCCGCAGCCAACGTCCATATTGTCTTGGTGTTTTGCTTCTGTTTTCTCCCCTTCACCACCCTCTTTCTGAGATGCTGAAAGTGGTTCTAGGAAAAGGTAGTAAATTAAGGAAGGCTGGAATAGCAGAAGGGGGTTTGGATAGAGCTGACAGATATCCTGTAGCACATCTGATATCTTGTGTTTCAACATAAAATTCTCCGTCCTATGTTAGCAGTGTATAGGATAGTACTCTTGTATTTTTCCAGTTATCTGGAAAAGGTAGATTGAGCTGACCCAGGCACCACTGTTGTTATTTCTGCTGCTTCTTTTTTCCCTTTTCCCTCTCCAGAGGAAGGAGAGAGACTCAAGGACAGGGACTCTGTAGGGTGAAAAAAAGACTGTGCTGGAGGCAGCAAGGAAAAGCACTTTTTCCTTCTCTTATTTGGGCAGAAGATGTAGGAGCAGAGGAAAAGTGGAGAAAAACTTTTGGTCAGGTCCTGTTGCTGCTGCTTTTACTTCAGGAAGCTTGAGAGGAAATGGATAAAACTGCCAATCAGAGCTCAGGCTTTTGTCACCTACAACATATGGTCTTACCTCACCAGTGAGGTCCACTGTCCTGGTAGAGAGCCACTATTCCAGCTGATTGCTGCCACCAGAACAGCACGTACTGAACTGTCATCTGTGTAGGGTGTTATCAAACACAGAAGAGAATTTAGGAAAAGGAAGGAAGAGAAAAATTGTCAATAGCTTGGCTTTACAATTTTAAACCCAAAATAACTACTCAAATGCTTACTCATAAATAATGTAGCTGTTCATACAGATTATATGTCAATGAGATGGTTTTTTCATTGTTTCCAACTGGAAAATGCTTTCATATTCTACCTCAGTAAAGATAAAAGCAAGGATGAAGCATCACTTCTGGGGAGAAAGTTATTTGCTAGAAGTAGAAAGTGATAAAGCCAAGACTGTTGGATTTTATTTGGTTTTACTGCTGTGTTGCTGTGTGGCATCAAGCAGTTCACACTTCCCCTTCCTTATGAAAATCTTAATTCTGATTTTTGTGACTTCTTTAGTCAGAAAGACTCTGTGAGAGTAATACTATTAGTATTACATGTAGGATCTAAAAGTTGTCCTTTACTGTACAAAATATTTTTTTTCCTGAAGTGAGAAAACACCAAGGCTTATTTTTGTTATGAATAAGCAAATATTTTCCCTTGAGCTATTTATTCAACTTCAATAGTGTCCAACTTAAGTTTGGGAGTAAACCTCATGGTAATCCTTTAAGAACACAAAATAGGTATCCTCTTCACCTTTTAGATCATGGGACTTGCCATTGTGTCCTACATAACTCTGGTTTACCTTGCCAGTTCTTCAGTCCACGTTGCCTTGTGTGTACACTAGCTTTAGTTAAGAGAAGGTTTGTGACAGATTCGTGCTCCCTCAAGAACTAAACTTGTCAATTGTTCAATGTCAGTATTTTTTGGAAGCATTAATTCCTAAACAGTGAAAAAAGTTTGCTGTACTTGACTGCTACAAAGGCTTTTTGGTTCACACTACTTTACTAATTATCTGGTTTTTGATCTTTGTTCCATAAGGGCTTAAGGAACTGGAGCTTTTCTGGAAATAACTGGCCTTTGCAAACAGTGTTAGATAAGCGTGGTTGAGCACCAATGGCAGTAAAAATATTGGAAGAAGTTCTATAAATCAAAGTTGGAGGTGACTGGAGGACAAAACATTACTTAGAACACCTCTAGAGCAAATCCACTTTGCTTCTTTTCTAATCTGGATGAAAACAATCTTTGAACAGTTCCACAAAAATTAATTCTGATGCTGTCTTTTATCTGTCAGAAAGGAAAAATTTGAAATTTTATAAAAAAGAATTAGCCAAAGAGCCTGAAGCTGTTAAAATACTCCTAATAAAAATGCATCCAAACCAGAATATTCCTAATAACATATTCAGCCTCAAGAGAAATTTTTCCTTTACAAATATTTCAGTTGGCTGTAGTTTGATTGCTTGGCTTTGGACCTTACTGTTGATCTTACTATTGAGGTATCCTTTGGTATCACCCAGTGCACCCGCTCTCTGGACAAAATTTTAATGTAAATGAAGAACAACTTCTTGTGTCAGTTCTAGTTTTCTCTTTATGTATACTATAGATGATGGAGCAAATGGGAGGGGTTGCTTGTTTGGGTTTTTTTCTTGCCTTTAACAAACAGAGCATCTTACATGTGCCTTCTCAAGGTAAGGTACTCTTTATTAGGTGATTCACTTATCAGCTGCTCAGACTTTATTATGTGTAAAAAAACAACAACAACAACAAAAAGGTCATCTATCTATAAAAAGAAAAATGTATTTCCTATAAAGAGAAAAAAAAACAACCCAAAACCAAACTTCTCCAAACGTTCAAGTTAGTTTTCCTAAATAATTAGGGCCAAAAAATTCCAAAAGGCATCAAAACCCCAGGCTTTCTGTTGCTTTTCAATCTGTGAAACAAAAGCTTGCCCTGCAAATTCATGATGAGTGCATATATATACATAAAGACAGAGCAAAAGGTCATACATATTCATACAAACACTTCCTTCCTATGTAACCATACTTGAAACAGGTACCACTAAAGTTTCCAACAGGTTGTAAAGTTTCCAACAAAAATAGGAGAGAGATTGTGCATGGAGTGACTTTTCAGTTTCTTTTGGAGAGGAAAACTTATCTGTTTTCATATCTCCTTTTTAAAACAAAAAATCCCACACTATTTTCTGCGTTGCATACTTTTCTGAAATCCTACATGTATGCAAGTTTTACTGAAATAATCCAAGTATCTGTTTTTAATACTTGCACTCCTATCAATAAATACCAGTCATTATAGAAAATGTCTGACCAGTTCTGAAATAGTTTCACACCTGTATATGGAGGTGGATAAATACAATAAGCAATGATTCAAATTTCCTAAGTCGATAAATCAGTGTAGTATATAAAGGCATTTTGTGATACATGAACATAAGTCAAAACCTTGCTTCAGTATTCCGAGGCTGGGAATGCTTATATCTTTTAAATGTGCATTGAGTTATTAAATCTATAATTTAAAAGGTTTTCTGATAAAGGTTTGAGTGTTCCTTTTGCATAATCCGATAATACTTTTCATTTCAATATCATGCAAAGCTGGGTTTATTTTAAGCATTTTTATTTTTAAAAAGAGAGAGTGTTGGTGAATAAATATTACATTGATGTTGAGCATTTATGTGGTTTTGATACATTTGTTTGATAGTATTGAACTTTTCAGATGTTGATATTACTGAATGATAGAATATATAAAAAGCATGGGGTAAAATGTAATCTACTGCATTATTAGAAAAAAATTAAAGTAGAGGCTATATTTTACAGTGTCGTCTTTCAAATCTAGCCATGCTGTAAACTGATGTTTGCTGTATGCTCCTCCTGATTTGAAATAGATGAAAGAGAATGAACCTTTAATCACCATGGTTCACACTATGATTGAGAACTCGGCGCTAAGACCGCAACTGTACCAGCAAGTAAGGTCTTGGATAGTGAATGAAATTTGCTTTATCATCTGCGAAAATTTTCCTTAGTGACAGTTTTGGTTGTTCCTCAGATTTATTCATAACATTGGTGTTTCTCTTATTTGCTTTGGAAAACCACAAGTCATCCATGCTTTATAAAATGCTGCAATATCGTTAGCATGGCTTTTGCTGCATTTTTGTTGTTAAGTATTAAATGTACACTTTTGAATAACTTTTTCTGTCTAGATGATTTAATTAGTTGATGTTTTATGCAGGTGTCCAGTAAATTCATAAAACTTCCAACGAGCTTCCAACATTTGTCTTAGCATGATTCTCTGCAATTAGTGTTCAAAGGTGCTTCTTTCTTTTGACCACTACAAAAGCATGTGAGCGGTGTTTACCTGGTCATTTCTGGCAATTTTGTTTCGTTCTAGGAAGTGGATTTACAAGTTTTTGTTTGCACCTACCAGGCCTTTAGCCACTGAAGAAAGGAAGGATCAAAATTACTTTGATCTGGGGACTGTAAATCCAAAAGGCAGTGCTTGTTCATAAAGTCACAGCAGATTTAACTCTGCACACTTCTCTAGTGATGGTTGTAAATGGTAAGATGGAAGAGGAATCACAAATGTGAATGGAAATATTGTCTGTGAGTTGAGACCTGCATTAACTTATGAGCATGGCCAATACATATCTGTTGGCACTGCAGTGTCTTAGGGATACTGGGGCTTAACTGAATAGTTTCTGTCACATCAGGGAATGCTTCAGAATTTTCTAGCCTGCAACAAAGACGATGTTCTTATTTAAATGACTGTGATATTTTGCAGCAGATGAAGTGTGCAATTCTGGCTGCCAGTCAGAAGGAGAGTATCTAACCAGTTCCCTTACACTTGCATTTAAGCCCTTGTGAGCCAAAATGACATATAAATGTTGCATAGTTTGAAGAAAAGGAGACGTTCTGCCATGTATAACTGTCATTTATCAGTGATTACTGCTTTGCCGTGTTTCTAAAAAATGCTGCAGCTTAATTTCATGTTTTGTTATTTTGGAAGTCAACTCCACATTGTAGATTTGCTTGTGATCCAGGAAAGTTGCAGGAGAAATCTCAGCTTTCCAAAGGAAGTTGGGTTGTGAGTGACTTTGATTTCAGGATCATCCAATTTGTGGATGATCCTGAAAAATAGGAGCTTTAATATGGAACCTGAAGGAACTGTTTGGGAGAGGAAAGGGAGAAGTAAGGTGTCCTCAAGCCCTAAAGCAAATTGATTTGTGTAAATTTTTCTTTAAAAACATAGCTGTTAGGATTTTTTAAAAGCAAAACAATTTTCTATAATAATGTATATATGAGGAATAAATCAACATACATATAATGAGCAGAGGTGCTTTGGATGTAAATAAATAAAAAATAGCTCAGCTTCTAATATTAATATAGACACATTTGAGGTATAGCTTTGTCTGGGCTAGTCTGCCCACTTATTTAGAGATATCAATGAATTTCAGAGTGCTGGCTTGACAGAGCTATGCTGTCAGCTAAGGTATCGCTACACGGCACTGCTTTCACCTTGCAGACATACCTCCTGCTTCATATCTGACACCGAATAAGCACCTTTTTTGACATTCTTGTCAAAGAAACAGTGAATCTACCAGGTCATGAAGACTGAATAATAACGTTTTGTCACTAGAGATGTGGTCTTTTCAGGTCAGAGTGTTTGTGACGTATTGGCAGGCTCGTGCAGAAGAACCCATGTGTTGCATAAACTGGAGAATAGCAAGACCTTCTGCTTTCATGGGTGACATTTCCTATATGAAATTCTGCATTAAATGACTTCCAGGGAAGGATAGAAATACCCTCAAAACTTCACTGCCTACATAGTCTTCTAAACTTATGTAATGCAAAACTAACCTGTTTAAAATTATGGCCACTTATTTAAAGTTTAAACAACATATACATTTTTTGTATTCAAATAAAATAAATTTATTTTACCAGTCATCTATGCCACTGCAGTTTTAAAGAAATGTAAACAATTGCGAGAAGCCTTTGTGTAAGTGACTGAAACCTGTTCTGTTGTCAAGGTTATAAACTATTTTCTGATGACCGTAACCATCCCTGTGATTAGAGAAAAGTATCTTTCTCAGTTTATTCAGTTCAGTTTTATGGTGGAGTTCATTTAGAGTTAAGCAAAGGAAAGCAGGAAAAGCTGGTATTTAATTAAAAACTAAGGTGTCTTGCTTCCTGTTTGTTTGTAATGGTTAACAGATTTTTAGTAAAATCACTAAAATATATACTATTTCAAATGGGTTATTTAAAAGACATTTTTGTTTGTGATTTGTTACATCTCTACAGTTATTTAAATCGCTTTGACTCCCATCAAGTCTGCTCTACAGACTGTACTGTAAATTAACAAGCATAAGTCAGGGCAATGATTCCGTATGTACAGACAAAAAAACTGAAGGCTTTTTACAGCCTGGACCCATTTCCACCTTGGGTTTTTTTGTTTCTTTCTAATACGAGGTGAGGAGTGTTAATCTTGTCTTCCAAAGTAGTATATGCTCATTTTCTAAAGTATAATTATTCTTAGTTCCTTTTAAGTTTGTGAGTTCCCTAAAGGGAGAAGAAACAAAAATCTGAGTGCAATAAACTAACATCCAGGTCTTTGTTTGGATAATTGTTCATAATACATTAAAAATGTGTAAAAATTTGATTTTTCACTCTTATAAAGGAGAGGGAGATCTTGTTTATGACATACTTTATTACTATCATTATTATTATTATTGCAGCTGCATACATTTAAACTATTATGCATGTTAGATTTTGAGATTTGTAGGCAGAAATATTTTTCAGGTTTTGTTATGAACACAAGATTATTGTATTTGAGCTAAAAATCTTATGTTTCCAATCTGTATCTGAAATGTTATCTGTCGCATTATGCAAAACTAGAGGAGAATCTTGCTTACTGTGGGGTAAATGCCCATTTGCCCTGCTTCCTAATAGTAAGAAGTTCTTTAAAAAAGAAAGGAGAAAAAAAAGCCTTTTGGAAGTCTGACTTTAACCTTGTTCTCCCCACAAAATTATCTGGATTGTCCTGTTTTAACTTCCTAAGTGCAGTAATCTTGCAGAGATGCTTCGTGTGTTCTCAGGGTGTGAAATTTCCTGCTGTATATTTATTGAATCAAAATGGTTAGCAGAATCTGAAACTAGCTTATAAGGTAATGAAATAATACTGTCACTTAAATGACTTTAATACTGACTGCTTAAATAGGTTTAACCCCTCCTGTCTCAAGAGATAAATTTGCCTAATCTGCATTTATGTGGGAAAAAATTTCCCTCTAAGGACATATTCTATTGTGTCCACTGTGGTGGATTTATCCACTTCTGTGATTCATCTGGTACTGGCGTTTGAGGGAGATGGGGGACTCTACAGTGGGACTCTAAAGTAGATGACTAATTATTTCTAACCTAAGATAGAGATTCAATTAAGCTCACTTTACCTTTTCACATGTAACATATACCTTTGGCCAAATTCTTACAAAAATGGTAAGTTCTATTTGTCGGTATTCAGGGTGTTGCCCCTTAATGTTTGGGAGCTGTGCAGTGTATTTCACTATGTTAAGAGAAAATGGACTTTTTTGTATTTGAGTAGGTAAATATTGAGGAAAAGTGTAGAAGTCAGCAGCAAGTCATGTCATTGGTTCAGTAGATGGCACTCTTTCTCTGAAATTACTCTCCTGGTAAAGTATTTGTAGGAACAATTTGTTGAGAAGCGTTTGTTGAACGTGACATAAAATACATTTCAATAACTTGATCATTGGAGCTCTGATAATGCATTTTCCAGCATTCTGAGGTTGTTAACCTTGCTTGTAATGTGTAATTGCATTTGGTCTACTGCAGTTCCTCTCATAATTCCAGCAGGATGTGATAACATTCTGCACTTTTTGCCTTAAGCTGCTGTTTTGTCAGAGATGGATTGTTTTGTACTATTTTTAGAGGTTTTGTGCTAAGTCTACATAAAATGTTGCAGTAGGAACATTGAGATGAAGTGGTTCTTCAGCAGTGCCTATTGTGGGAAACTAGTCCCGCTAGACAAAAGCAAGAAGTTGGCAGCAATTTTAAAAGCGTGATAGGATTTTAATAAGAAGAATTAGCACGTGTATAGTGTTCTTTGAAAATGTGTTTTTGTTTTCTGAATACTTAAATACATACTCCTTTTAGGAGGTAGGCAAGGATAAGGATGCTGAATTGGCAAGCTATTTTAAACTTGGCTATAATTAAAGTTGAAATGTCAGAAAAAAATTAATGTCTCTCTTTGAAAAAAAAAATAAAAGTGTAAACAATACTTGCTTGAAAAAATAGCATTACATTTTTCCAGGCAAGCTATATAAAATGCTGAGCAGTTTAATATTCTGTTTTATGCAGTTTAATATCTATGTTAACATTATCTTGGGAAGATGTATTTATCTAATGAGGGATAATCTTTCTTTTTTGAAATCTTTCTGTTGCGAAATATAACTAGATTTTCTCTGTAAGTTAAAGACATTTGGCCATGTTTATGAGTTTTTAAAAAATATTTCCATTCCTTATTTTTCTCTCATTGTGATGAAACCAACAGTTAAAAAACACATGACTACAATAGTAGGAGTTTAAATAGATATCCTAATTTTTGTGACGTTCATGAGGTGCAAAAGTGCTGTGGCTTTTTTCATATTCCAACACTCATTTTCATAAAATGTCCATTTCAAAGAAAGTTACTGTGTGGTTTTAATACACTATACATACTTTTAAATTGTCACCAGGTGCATTTGCATGAGGTATGTGGACATAATGTCTTGAAATGAAACACTTAAGTGTGTTGAAGATTTACTGTACGTTTGGAATGCTTGTCTGATTAACCCTTACCTAGTCCTTTTATTTATAATGTCCTTTAACATGGACTTGTGCTTTTATAGTCTTTCTTGCACTATTAAGTCACAATGACCTAATTATGACAGGTACATGGAAGGAAGGCATCTGTGTTGGGACTCAATGCACCCATGTTTTTAACTAAATAGAATACAAAGGCTGATAGTGTTAGAATCATAGAATAGTGTTAGAATCATAGAATCATAAAATCACACAATGGTTTGGGTCGGAAGGGACCTTAAAGACCATCTAGTTCCAACCCCCCTGCCATCAGTAGGGACACCTTCCACTAGACCAGGTTGCTCAAAGCCTCATCCAACCTGGCCTTCAACACTTCCAGGGAGGGGGCATCCACAACTTCTCTGGGCAACCTGTTCCAGTGTCTCACCACCCTCACAGCAAAGAATTTCTTCCTCATATCTCATCTAAATCTACTGTCATCCAGTTATGCCAATGCTTGCTGTGTAGGACATTAAGTAGTCACTATATGTGACAGTCCATTCTAAAATGGGGAGCTACCTTTTTTCATGTGAAATATTTTTAAATCTTGTTACTGGTCAGTTCAGAAACTGGAAGAGTTAAGAACTTAATGTGAGGAGCTGTATGAAAGTAGTTTGAGGTTAACTTACATGCTGACTGGCATGAGGAGACAAGTTTGCCTAGGTCCAAAGATAACATAGAAGGGCTTCCATTTCTGGTAATACTCTGTTGGAGAGGAGGGCATCCATATGCAAATGTAGGCAAAAAGACATTTGACAGCACTTTTTTGGGCATATATCTGTAATGAGATATTTTACACATATTTTGTACACTCAGGTCACGCCATGAATATCCTCCTTGTGAATACACTTGACCTCAGTGGGCCTAGAATAGTTAATTCCAAGTAGAATGAGCCCCTGTATTTAGCATTCAGATAAGAACGGGTATAATGATGTATGTCTAGGTGTACTCTGGCAGTTTCATCTTCCTACATAATCCATGTTTGATTGAGTTGTACATCTTTAAAAATCTAGTTTGCATTAGAAACATAGCCTGTTAAGTTAATGCAACTTTCTACTGACAGTCTGCTTGACATTCCATTTACTTACCTTCATTAATATATATTGGCTAAAAATATATTGTTCGATGTGGTATGTTTGGCTTTCAGGCAAAAGCTGATTTCTGTATTAAAACTCTTAAGCTGAACAGTAGTTTCATTTTGATAGTCCAATTAAGTTGTTTTATGGCAATATTATTCTTCCTTATAGTTAACACAAGAAGAATGTAGGGGTACACTATACAAATATAGAACTGAAGAGCTGGATATTGATGTAAGTAATTTGTATTTCTTCTTCCTTGGAAATTTCGGTATTTGTCTTTTTATCCTGATAATAATTTCCCCCTTGACTTTTGGGTTTGAAACACACTTCATATAGGTGATTAGCAACAGAAATTGCTTTGTGAAATTGAGCACCATAAGACTCTTTGTAATAAGCTTCTAACTTACAGGAAGTGTTACATTTTAAGCTGAAATTTCAAGTATTATATCTGTTACATCTCTTCAAAGGTGAATTGGTTCTAGAAATAAATGAATTACTATAGAAGGGAAAAACTTTGTAGTTGTACTTCAGTTATAGCATGAGAGATGTAATTTCTCAGGAACTATGACCAATACTCCAAAACTGAAATTTGGCATGAGTAGCTACCATTCAGAGTATTCGGTTAGTAGTTATTAAAGAAAAGGGGCTTGGTGTAAAATTGGTGGTGAAAAATGCACACATATAGTCATACCATATATGCATAAGTGTGCATATCCCATCATTCTTGCACATCACAACAAAGAGTAGACATAATGATTTAATGGAATGTTATTTTAAGAGTAAAATAGAAAGCAAGTTTCCCGTGTTGTCTTGGAGTCAAAAAGTCAGAGCAGCACAAACTGAACCAAAGAAGTTGTTCAAATAGAAAAGGAACCTGTTTCAAATTGGTTAGAGTGCACTGAACAGTTATTTGCCCAAACTGGAGCTGGAGTGGAGCAGTTTGTCATAGCCAAGCTTCACTCAGAGCTAAAACAGAGCAGAGCATGGATTGTACTAGTAACTAACTGTTAAAAACTGCCACCGGAAATAAACCATGGGAGAGACTATGAAGGTATGCAATATGCTTTATAATAGTGAAAAATATATAAATTAAAACAGTATTTAGTACCTGTTATTAAGATATAAAGATTGAGCTGTAGAATCATAAATATTTTTTGAGCTATGCTGTTTCAAGCTATAAAAACACTTATTTCATAGTATCTTAAGAGGGTTTCTTAAGGTTAATTTGAAAATAAAAGACTGATGCCTTCATAAATTTAGAATTCGTATTTTGTGGTAATAATATTTTTTTTATAGATTCATGTAATGATTTGATCAAGTATTTTCATTACTGAAGTTGTTAAAAATTAAATCCTAATTGCAATCATTTTCTGTTATATCCTAGGCTAAGCTTAGCCGTTTATGTGAACAAGATAAAGTTGTACAAGCACTGGAGGAGAAGCTTCAACAGCTACACAAGGAGAAAGTAGGACAATTGTATTTATTACCTAAAGTGGATGTTATTTAACATGCTTATTGTCGGAACATTGATAACTGAAATAAAATGAAAATTAGCCCAATGATGCAGAACGTTAAAAATAATTCTTTTTATTATAATAGTACACGCTTGAGCAAGCTTTGCTGTCAGCAAGTCAGGAGATAGAAATGAACGCAGATAATCCCGCAGCCATACAAAATGTAGTCTTACAGAGAGATGACTTGCAGAACGGACTGCTTGGCACTTGTCGAGAAGTATCGCGAGCTACTGCAGTAAGTAATGTGTTCTTGACAGTAAAACTCAATGAAGTGCTAAACCATTCTCTTCATATTCATATTCTTAATTGGGTTGTCTTGGTTTATTTTTCATTACGTTCCAACAAAACTCAGTTGTCTTTTCCTTGCTTGTTTTTTTTTTTGTCAAAGGCAGCTGGAAAGTGATCTTTTCACTATATTCATCAAGTACTCTTTCTTTAGGGTTGGTTTGGTTGGTTTTTATGTGCCAGGAATTAATGCATACTGACTTTAATTGGTGTGGTAATTTTCATCTTTGTAATATGAAAAATTGATTACAGAAGTAGTAAATAATTCAAATAAGCTATTTTATGTGATGGCAAAATAGTAGCAAGCATAAACCTTATGAGATATTCGATCAGATAAGTGACTTATTTAAAGCAAAAGCAGCTGCAGGATGAAAATAATTTAAAGATTATACTGTCACAGTCACTTAGTAGTGGGCCATTACATTTAAAAGTTTGTTCAAGTTATGTACTTTCAAAAACACCCAAAAAAAAAAAAAAAGGAAGGGAAGGGAAGTGCTATTTACTGTCCTTTCTACTTCATGATGGTTTCTACACTGAAATGACAAGGCAAAGAATCATTCTCGCCTACTTACATATATATCAAAAAATATATTTCAGTGTCAAATTCCAGTGGTTTGCTGTGATAAAATTGATAGGAATTAGGACCTGAAATACTGGGTTTAGTTTGAACATTAGACTATGTTCTAAAAGGAATTGGTTGGACAAGAAAAAGGGAATCAGGGGAAAGGAAATCTTAAGATACACTTTCCCTTATTAACTTTTTAATTTATACTAAATTGAGTATATTGCCTGATGTAGGCTTTAAAAGTGAGACGGTAGCATTGACTTTGAAGAAGGTTTTCTTTTTGCACCCTTCTGGTGTTTGTAGTTTCACTTATATAAAATAATGGTGTATTAGCAGGCCTGGGGCATTCCCTGGTAACCTCCCAGGCAGGAGGGTTGGATGACTTAGATTTATCTTGCATAATATATTGCATATAAACACAAATGCTGTGCACTCACACATATGTATTCTGTGTGATAAAAGAGACAAATTTGCATCCATTTTTGTGGGTTTTCTGCCTCGGTGGAAGGACAGCTTAAGACCCACATACCTACTGACTGTAAAGACATAGTTTGAAGGTTTTGCCCTTGCCTATCTTTTTTGTTTGTGAAAAGACAAAATGCTGTTCGTTTGAATTCTGTTCAGTATTATTAGAAAATCAGTAAGTCGTTTAAATGTAGCGTTATCTAAAATACATATTTATTGCTGATATCTATTTGTACATTACTTCCTGAATTTTCATGTCACTGAATAAAGAAAAATACATAATTTTTTTTTATTATTATTATTTTTTTAACTTGAATGTGCATCTGTAATTCCTTACTTTTGTTACATACTTAGGAACTGGAAAGAGCTTGGAGAGAATATGATAAATTGGAGTATGATGTAACTGTGACAAGGAACCATATGCAGGAGCAGCTCGATCGGCTTGGAGAAATTCAGGTGTGGCATCGGTCTTAAAGTACATTTCAGTCACTTTCATTTTCTATGATTTTGTTTAAAAACTGCACAAATGAAAAAGGGGGACATGTGGTGCATTAACTTCTGAGGCATAAAGAGACATTAAAAGCTTGTAAGTTTTGAGGAGGTCTTCAGCTTTGCCTATTTTTTTGAAACTACAGCACTGGTTTTCCTGTGTCTCGGAAGCCTCCTCTTTCTTTTTCAGTGATGGTGTCCAAAACAGATTACTTTTCTCAGACCTTAATTGCTATGACAGTCATAGTAAATCTTCACACAAATGCTTCCATTTAACTGAATATTTTTAAATATCATTAAATCATTCTATCAAAATAAATCATAAAAAAAAAATATTCAAAGCCTTGCTTCAGGTCTTATTTATGAAGAGTTGTGACGTGTATCTTACTAGCTCAGTGTGCTGTGGAGGATTGAACAGTTAATAGAAGTTCTGACTTTCTAAAGAGATCTTTCTGTGAGAGACACACACACACAAAAAAAAAATCTGGAATAGGCGGATGGGTGTGGCCCATGCTGGGAGGAATTAAAGGCTGTTTGCTCCAGGGATTGATTTTCTATGCAGCTATGAAAAGGAGATTACAAGGAAGCTCAAGAGCTGAGAAATTAGTGTTACGGAGTCCAAAGCATGCATGGCCATGAATGCATATAGACCCACAGTTTATATGTTAGTATGCAAACACCATGTTCATCTCCACCTATTTGAGGGTTGGAACTGATTATTCCTTTGCTTTCGTTCTATGTAGGTCTCCTGTGCAAAGTTTGCTTGGATTTTCTTTGGAGACAGTAGATACAATTCTATTTTTAAGTGGAGTTTGAACTATCAAATTCCTGTCAAAGTAACTGACACATTATGAAATTACTTAATCTTGCACTTTTTGTTTCTGACAATATTTGAATGTTGCATTTTTATGGGAAAGAAGAGTGTCATTACTGCATTTTATTTTCTCTCATTGTGAAAGGATATGCAGTAGACTCTAAAGAAAGAAAAAGGCTTTCTGGTTTTTTCCACTTGCACTATATTCTAATTTATTGCCTATATATGCTGTTTATTTACTGGCAGACTGAGTCAGCAGGGATACAACGTGCTCAGATTCAGAAGGAACTGTGGAGAATTCAAGATGTCATGGAGGGTTTAAGTAAACACAAACAGCAAAGAAACTCTTCAGAGACAGGTAAACTGATTGGTTTTATCTCTTAGGAAATGAGATTAGATCATATAATTTTTTTTAAAGGATAAGCTCCATAGCTGCTTTTGTATATTTGAAAAAATGGTACAATTTATTAGAAAAAATGAAAGCAATCATCTGTTTTAAGTTGATGCTTCTTTGTGTATTTGTTTGATAGCAACAGGTTATAGTTCATATTTGAAAAGCTATTTACTGAAATCAATTTTTCTCTTTCTTTCTATGTCTTTCCTCCTCCCTCCAAATAGGCATCATGGGATCAAGGACATTTTCAGCTATTAAATATAAAAATGAGGTATGGTTTTAGTATATTTACCATTTTAGCATCACTGAATTTCTAATATACATATGATAAAAATGAGCATTATTGTAATTGTTTTAAGGATGTCTGAAGTATGTATTCAGCATGTTTCTGTGAAAATAGTGCATTATGGATTAGTTTTAAAGACTGATATCTCCACTAGTAATTCTAACACTTTAATTTGTTCTCTGTCTTTATATTCTCACTGGTATGTTTCTCTTTTCCATTTCTCACCTTTTCCTCTCCCTAGTCTCTTACCCTAGAAGTATAAACCTTATTTTATGGATTTGTTTTCTACCCACCATACTTTTCATGGGCAGAAACACATTGCTTTATATGTCTACTCATATATTGAGCCTGGTTCTCAGATGGCCAGAGCACCCACAAGAACAGCTGAAACTGTGGGAGCTCCCAGATGTTCAATTCCTCTGAAAATCTGGCTAGAAGTTACAGCTTTAAAGGGACACTGTCACAGTCTAAAGTTTATGCAATATACATCTGGCCTCCAGAACTTTCTAAAGTTCTAATTTATATATAAATCTTTAAAAAGATATTGAATTTTAATTTTTAAAAGGTTGATTCAGAGAGTTCATGCATGTCCAACAGAAAGTGCAGGTGTAAGAATTGAAAATCTTGATAAGCTGAATAGTGAAACTATTGAAGTATCTCAGTCTAGGTGGTAGTAATAAAATAAAAATCAAACAAAAGAACAAAAAAAAACCTCTAAAGAAACACAAAGAAAATAAAGCTATCTTGGCCTTTTCTTTTTTTTTCTTTTTTTCTTTTGTTTTTTTTTTTTAGTGTGACATTGTCCCTTTAATTCCAAAATCTATAGCTGGTGTAGCTATGGTAATATATTTTTCTTTTTAAGTTATAAATAATTGTAACAGGTGCGCACATCTAAATAAGGTGACTATTCTACAATCTTTAGGAAGAGGAAGTAGTCCCACCTCGTCCTCCACTCCCTCGGTCCTATGACTTTACAGAGCATCCTCCCATAATCCCCCCTCTGCCCAGTGATAGCAGCTCCTTGCTCTGTTATAGCAGGGGCCCAGTACATCTGCCAGAAGAGAAGAAGATTCACCAAGTTCAAGGATATCAGAGAAATGGATCTTACTGTGTAAGTGGCTTAAGCTGCCACATTGTTCTTGAAGCATCCTCCTCCCTTTGCACAGCCACAATTTTTATTTTGTCATCTGGCTGCTTTTGTGTTATGTTTTCACTTTTGGATGCTTAGTTTTATTTATAGCTCCATCATTTGCTCTTCACATTTTCCTGTCATATATTCTCTGCATATATAAAAAATGTCTTAAGACTTAAATGCCTGTATCTGAGTAAATTTCAGAAACTTCAATTCTTGTACTCAGAAATTCTTAAAAAAAATCTAGGCTCAGAATCAGTTTTTGCTGAAGCCTTATACAAATTTGTTTCCTGAAGACCATTTAGAAGACAAAAAAACCCTCCATGTTTTTATGGCTTTTTTTTTTTTCTATAATTTCTGAAAGTCAGCAAATGTTTTTTACCCAAATTAACTACAAAGAAAAACTGCTGCAATACCAACTGTTTGGAGTCTTAAGACATAAATGCTTTTACAAAAATACCTGTTTGTTTACCTCATAACTTGTCATTCCTCAGGGTCCTGATTATAGGCTTTATAAGAGTGAGCCAGAGTTAACTACAGTAGCAGAAGTGGATGAGTCTAATGGTGAAGAAAAAACAGAACAAATTTCAGAATCAGAATCTGCAGCTAAAGGTTTGTTCCCTGGCATGGTGTGTACAACCTTTTCACAAGGATACAAAGCTTTAACTGTGTTATAGAAGATATATAGTCCTTCGTATTTTTGTAGCCTGTCCATTTCTTAATACAATAAAACAGCTTCCATGATAAAATAATGATTTAATTATATGACGAGAAAGATTTCAGTCAATTACACCGCAGGAAAAATCAAACATTACACTCACCAACAACCCTGAAATCCTTATTGACACCATGTCTAATCACATCACTCACATTCCCCACACACCATTCCCTTGAACAATTACCCATTTTGTGTTCTTGCCCTTGAACAATTATTCAGTTTTTGAATCAAACTCCCGATGTTATGTCACTGGAACGTCCAAAAAGGCAGCACCACAGAATTTTCAGGCTCTCATAAGGCAGGGAAACAATGTCTTTTTCTTTTTTTAATCTTGTAATTGTTGAATTGCCTTCTGTCCTCTGATATAATAGGAATAATGATCATGACCTTGGAGTGTACAGACAATAAAGGTCTTTGCAATTGCTAAATGCTTTAGATTCTTCTCTTCATCTAGCTTCCATAAAAGCTACTAATTGCTTGGTAGAGTCTTTTACCAGGAAGCGCTTCTCAATTCTGTTTGTTAAAACACACAGAATAGTTTGTTAAAGGTGACCGAGCACCTTCTGAAAACCACATTAAAAGCTTTTAGAAAAAAATATATTTTACCATTTTTTTTACTGTAACGGTTGATGTTTCCAGTGCAGGCAATATCACTGCCTTCTGTTATGGTGCTTTGACTAAGCACGTGCATAGCAGGTTGGTGCAACACTACCTACCAGAATTTGGCCAAGAGTTATTATCATAGAAGGATTATTATTTTTATCAGAACAGTAATGGAGGTTTTTAAAACTAAGGTTAGTGTACAGTTTAGGTGTAAACAATGTGAATGGCCCTGTGATATATGACATCATTAAGCTTGCACTTAACAGACAATTAGTCAAGGCAGATTCACAATGGTATTTGCTGAGGTATAAACTCTCATAACTTGGTGATGAAAAGGTTTAGCTTGAGATTCACCAGTCATTGGCCACCTAATTTGAGGAAGTTGCCTTTCTGATGACATACCTAGGTTTTCTTGACCTGTGGTGTTCCAGATTGTTTATAGTAATTTATAGTGATAAGAGGGAAAGTAATTGTCAAGAAAATATAATAAATCCTGCACTGATTATATAAAGCAAACCAATACTTTTGGAGCACCCCAATCTGCTTTCTATCTTCTTCTGTAAAGACAGAGGTAATTTTATTATGTCCATTTGTAGAAAAACAGTTCTTAGTAAGAGAAAGCAATAATACAGATTCTTCTAATACAAATAATATTTGGAGTGGGGGAGAGAATAGCAGCAGTGGTAGCAAGCAGCAAGAGGCTTTTTATCTTCTTAAACAACAATGTGGAGTAGGTTTATCATAGCTGTGTTTTATCATCTGATCCACAGTGTGAATTTCCTAACAAATATTTCTTGTTCTATGTGTTCATTTATAATAACAATCCCCATGCAACAGGAAAAATATAACCATTTCTGGCTTTTGTTTAAAGTGCATATGCCATTACAACTCTATGCTGTTTCAACAAACATTTTGATGCAATTCTATCTTAATAGTTTATAAGCTGGAAAGGAAACCAATTCAAAGGCAGCTTATCTCTGCAAGTTTTCTTTCTTGCTGTTTTAAGAAGTCATGCTTAAATGACATAGTTTTCTACTGAGGGTGGCTCTAAAAAGTAGTAAATTTCAGAGGAAATTTAAAGTAAATGTTTTTCTAGTTGGTTGTGCACATTACTGTACTAGACACTTCTCCTGCTTTTTCTGGCAGCCATTTCCCTTTCTTTTCAAATCTCAGCAAAGAGAAACATTTTAACGGGACTTTGTAAAGTAACCCTTACAGCTGTCTGCAAGCAGAGGAATATTTATGACCTGAGTGGTAGATAAAGATGAACACAAAACGAAAATGGATTTCTGCTGTGTTTTATCCTTTATACATCTAAAGGAGACCCAAACAGTTGCTGTATAGTTTTGGTTTTGAATGATGGATTTGGCATTCAAATACCTCCAGACTATTTTGTCAGCCTATCACACCATTTGGAGAAAGAGCTGAGCCTTCACCGAGTCAATATATCCTCTGAAATCTGTGCAACTTCAGGAAAAACAAGGAGAAATAATTTGGCTATCAAAGGAGGCGTATCTATTTTTAGGCTAAATAAGTGAGGAAACAATATTTTTAATAGTTTGATTTCCTGCATGTATCAAGAAGCAAAAATGAAGAATGTGCTATTTAATTATATCTGTATATTTCCATAAGTTTTAACTTATTACCAGCTTAATTAGATTTTGGCAGGACTTCTCTAAGTAGAAAAACTAGTTGTGGATGTTGTTACGAGGGGCTGAACGTAGTGGACATCAGGACACGGAATGTCCTCGGCTCTGAACCAGACAGAGCCTGGCTGCTGCAGTTCCCTGTCCCTAAGTGCAGCAAGCTGCAAGGCTGAGGACATGGTCCTACTGTGCACAAGCACAGGCACGGCCAACCACAGCAGGTTTGAGACCAGTGCTGTTGCAGGCACCGTGTGAACAAGACCAGCACTCACATAAAGGTGAAGTGGCACAAATAGCATGATCCTGTTCTCACACGCCAGCTAGCCAGGCTGAAAGCTTGCTAGCTGATCCCATACACATATAGACATAGAATCATAGAATCTTTAAGGTTGGAAAAGACCTCTAAGATCATCAAGTCCAACCATCAACCTAACACCACCATGCCCACTAAAACATATCCTTAAGTGCCACATCTATGCATCTTTTAAATACCTCCAGGGATGGTGTCTCATCCACTTCCCTGGACGTGAGCACACATGTGCACACACACAAATGAGTCCCTCCAAGAGCTGACCAGACCTACAGTATCTCCATCAGTAAACTCTGGCCTCTTCAGTATCTGAATTCTAGACCTGAGGTCTCTTGGACAGCTGGCTGCCACCCCTTCTATTCTACTTGCCATCTAGTCTTGTCTTAAGTTCATTAGCATCTCACAGACAGAAGGTCACCCCTGGTAGCAGGTCAGGACTTAGGGTCCTTCTGGTAGCCAACCCACAGACCTGCAGTCTTTCCTGTCCTTGTCCTCTAGACCTACATGCAATCTCTCTGTAGCTGTCTCCTACTGGCAAGCTAGCCTGGCTTGAAGATCACTAGCATCTGTCACACTCTCGTAGACAGAAGAGAAAGCATACTCGCATGGAAAACACTTCAGAATAAAGTTGAATAAGAAGACAGGACAGACTGCAATGCTAAAGCACGGGGCTTGGGCAGACAAGCATACTGACAAACAGCTTGTTTATACAAACCTGGCCCCTTTTCTTTCCCCTCCTCTCTGTTACTCCATGCCCGTTCTTTCCCATCCACCATGCCTCCTCCCTTTCACAACCTTTGTTTCTTCCCAAATGAACAACCCACCCATAATTACTTTTTCTTCATTGGTCCCACTTTTCCTCAATTCAGTATTTCCAGAGCACTATCTAGGGAAGCTTGGCCTGAAGTGGTAGCATTGATACAGTTACCTAGGCACTCTGCTGGCCTTACAGACTGTTCCATAAGTTCCCAGTACGGCTGTGCAATTACCTGTGAAGTTTAACCATCTTTTGCATAATTCCCCTATGAAATCTAGCAATTCCACACAGCACTAGCTATTTTTTGTCTGTTTCTCACCGTTATTGTTACGTCCATCGATTTCTGGTGCCACGTGCAGTAGTTTCCCATGTTCTATTCAGTTAGCTAAACCTCTGGCCAAGGGCTAGTCGTTGGCCTGCGTACCTCTGCAGATGTGATAGTTGGGCAATAAGATCTTTGCTGTCTTTTGAAGAATAGTTTCCAAGGCTGACAACATGTATTTTCTGGAAAACAATAAACTGTTTTGGCAGTGTTTTGCATAGTATTTAGTATTTTGCTTTCCTGTGTCACAGGCTCACACTTTCCTGTGGGAGTTGTACCACCTAGAACCAAATCACCAACGCCAGAGTCTTCGACAATAGCATCCTATGTCACTTTGAGGAAGAATAAGAAGATAGAGCTAAGAACGGTACGTTAAAATAACCTTCAGGCGTTGATGAATAGTGATGTGTTCATTTCTAAGTTTATTTTCTGTAGTTACTTCAAAAGTTATAGTTATCTTTTTAATTTTCTTTACAAAAAAAATTCACTGTTATAAAAATATATCTAGGTTAATGCACACAGCTGTAGAAAGAATGACAAAATGATAGAGGTAGCGTGTGTTAAACTGCAGAGAGATGCTCAACTGGACAAGAAATAAATAGTAATGATAAATCTACTCAGCTACTGAAGTTCAGGCTTGAGCTGAAAGGACATGAAGCACCTTAGGTTAAAACTCTGAGGGACTTGTATTTGGCTTCTGGGGCAATTTAACAGCCCCTGTATAACAAAAACTGGTTTATATTTATTTCATTACTAAAATGATTTGGGAAATACCTAAAGCAGCCAGAAAATAAGGATACAGTAAGCAATATGTGGGCAATAAATCTGGAATTTCAGATCAGAGAGTCCTGTAGTCTCTGGGTTGAAGACAGATGTTTACATGTAGTTCATGGAAAAGGGAGGAAAACTTTTGCCATAGTTACAGCATGAATAGAAGACGAGAAGTTGTAGGAAGAATGGGAGAGGAGAGAGGGCCTCACAGGATGTTGACTGGAGAAAGAATATCACTTCAGAAGTTACTTTGAATGTGCTGAATTGCAGCTGATCAACCTGAAGTAAATTTTTTTTTCTGTCATGCAAAGTACAGATCTGACTGAAAATCAGTGAATTTCAAGAAAAGAGTTGGTAAAGTGATGATTGTTATTTGGGGAATAATATAATGCTTTGAATTACAGATTTTTAAGTAGTGATAAACTTGCTGTGTTTCAGCCTGCACTTAGCATTAAATGATCTCCAGCTGTAGTTTTTCTCAACATAAAAAGGCACAAATCACTATTAGATCAACTGGTATAAATATCCTGGATCATTAAATTTCAATTATGTTTCTGTCTCAGTCAAGTAACTAGTGTTTGCCTGTTGTATAATGTCTGATAAATTGTTTCAACTTGATAGGACAGCTTTGAGAGAGCATCTACCCATTCTCTTAATATTTAGCATTGATGGGTAATGTCACTGCTCAAAAAAGCTAATTCTTCCTTCCTTTTATTTTTGAATTTCGGTGTTCATTTATTAATAATTGGTTCTTGTACTTTCTTCACCTACATAGGAGATCTTTACTTGCACACTATTTTTCTGCTTTTTAGTAAATCATTAGATGATCTTTTCTGACAAGCTAAACAGCTTAAAATCTTGCTTTTTTAAAACAAATATATTTTTTTTCCTCCATTTAAGGAAAGACCAAGAAGCGCAGTGGAGCAGCTGTGTCTTGCAGAAAGCACACGGCCTCGAATGACTGTGGAGGAACAGATGGAAAGAATAAAGAGACACCAACAAGCTTGCCTGAGAGAGAAGAGAAAAGGACTCAACATCATTGGTGTTTTGGACCAGTCTCCTTCACAGAGTTTGTCATTTGTCAGAGATAATCCAGTCAAATTGGCACAGGTGGGTCCCACGTTATTCAAAAACTTTAATTTGTCCAATTAAAAAGAAAAAAAAAGTTACAAAATTGTTCTTTTTCCAAAATCACGTGATACTCTAGGTGTCCCTTTGTATACTGCTTGTATACAGTAACAGTCACAAGTCTATGCTAGACACGAGAGCAAGGGAGATGACAATCTTTATGCTTATACCTAATGATAGTTGAAGTCACTTCTTTATCTTTTCGGGAAATAAATAATTCAAATCTACATGTGTTTGATTATGCGTTGTCATGTTTGTTAACGGATTTTTTTTTGTCAGATGTAGCACACAACATGAAATTGCAAGCTTTGTGACAAAACAGTATCAGGGAGAATCACGATTCAGTTGATGTATAAATTATGAAGATTTTTCTGCCGTGTAATATATTCAAACATCTGTAACACTTTTAAGTAGGAAGGTATATTTATGATGATAGCTCTTAACTGCTGCTCTTTTGCTGTGGTTTCTGAGCCCATAAATACATAAAAATAGAACCTTCTCTTTTGTTTTCACTCATTCTTAAACAGTTAAGGCAAATCATAGAATCATAGAATGGTTAGGATTGGAAGGGACCTTAAAGATCATCCAGTTCCAAGCCCCCTGCCATCATTAGGGACCCCTTCCACTAGACCAGGTTGCTCAAAGCCTCATCCAGCCTGGCCTTAAACACTTCCAGGGAGGGGGCATCCACAACTTCCTTGGGCAACCCGTTCCAGTGTCTGACCACCCTCACAGTGAAAAACTTCTTCCTAATATCTAATCTAAACCTACCCTCCTTCAGTTTAAACCCATTTCCCCTTGTTTTGTCATTAGTTGTCCTTAGGAAAAGTCCTTCCCCAGCTTTCTTGTAGCCCCTTCAGGTACTGGGAGGCCGCTATAAGATCTCCCCGGAGCCTTCTCTTCTCCAGGCTGAACAGCCCCAACTCCTTCAGCCTGTCTTCATAGGAGAGGTGCTCCAGCCCTCGGAAAAATAAATGAGTTTATTAAAGGGTAAAGGGTTGGGAGAGAGGAGAAAGATATAACTACTTGTCATTAACCAGGAAATAATATCCTGAATATACATCTAAAAAAAAAAAAAAAAAAAACCCAAAAAAACCCAAAAAAAACCCCTAAAAAACCCAAACCCAGATTCAGGGTAGTGGATGTTAGACAGCCTATTACTGTCTAACTGCTAAGAATTAGTTTTCTTTTTCAGTACCTTAATCAAGGTTGGTTGGTTGTTTTTTTAAATCTTCTGGCATACTTTTTTCCTCAAACCACACTGGTTTTTGATTATTTTTTTTTTCCTTTTCTGACATAGAAATTCCTTCTTTTATGTTTAGTAGGCATTTTTAGTAGGCATTTTAACATCTGATTTTCCAAAACCAGATTAAATGCATTGCATTGTTAAGAAATCACGTATTTCCAAAGAAGTTTTGTTTTTTCTTTTCCTCTGAGCATGCTGAGCTGCCTTCAGAGCTATACAAGTTACTCATCCTTCACCAGCATTGGATCCCCAGAAGACACTGAATTCAAATTGTACCTTTGCATGAGAGGATCTGTATTTGGGCTGACATCATGAATGTTATATATGAAGGAGGCTCCTACAAATATTTTGGTGATTGACACTGCGTTTCTCAAGAAGGGGACGTACAAAGCAAAGCTTTGCAGATTTTTTTTTTAGGTGTTTTTTGGTTGATTTTTTTGTTTGTTTTTTAGTTTTTTCAGAGGTGTGTGAGCTTTACCACTTCCCTATGGTATCACTTCATACCTCAGGGTGAGGAAGCTGCAGTCATACGTGTCATACCTGCCTCGCCAGCACACTGGGAGCAGAGTTGGGCAAATCCTCAGTGCCAGCACCACCTGCTATACGGCCAGCACACTGGGAGCAGAGTTGGGGAAGTGGCCAAATCCTCAGTGCCAGCACCACCTGCTATACAGAGCTTGGAAGAATTTTGTTCATGTCAGCATATTCTTCAGTCTTTTGTGTGCATTCAGTGCTATAAGAAATGTATAGAATAAGTGAGAAAGCATCTGAATTGAATATTTAACTAGTAGTCCAAACTACAAAGTCACTTTTTTTTAATCACAACTTACTTTCTTCCAGAATGCTATTTGGCAAAAAGCCCCAAGGTGAGGTATTCCACTGTAGTAATAGCTCATATTTTTAAAAGCATAATTTCTATGCCTGTTCCTTTTTATACAGAAAAATAGTGCAACGGCATTAACAGCTGGAAGCCTTTTCAACTGGAGTTTGTTTGGGATTTTTTTTAAGAATTGGAGGAAAAAAATGATTTTATAAACAGCCTGCTGTGTGATTTTTTAAGTGATTATCAAAATACAAAAGGAAGTTGCTTCACAATTGTTATTGTTTGCGACAAGTGTATGATACGGGTACATACTTTAGTTAGGAAAGTAGAGAGATTGATTTGTGAACTGACTTATGTGGAATTTCCTCTTAACAGAGTGCATGTGCTAAATCACAGGAATTCGGCCACAAGATTTCATGGCTACTATTTTTCTCTGCCCTAGTACTTAGTTTGATAAGACATGAACCTCACTTCAGTTTGGTTTGCTACTCTGCAAACATAATGTTCACAGCTCACAACCTTAAGTCACCTCTAGTATCTTTTTTTTATATCAAATTATTCTTTGTGCAATGGATTTTTATTTTTTTTTAAGGAATAAGTAATATCCTCTCCCATTATCAGATGCTATGTTGTCCTCTGTTAAATCAGTTAACAGTGTAGGCTTGGCAGATACCCAAGATAATTGGATAAAGTCCACACAGGTGCACTGTGAATTTTGTAGTGAGAGCAAATTTTTAACCATCATCCTTTTAAAAAAAAAAAATCAGTGTTTATGAATGCAAATAAGAATGCTACTAATCCTGTGTGTGACTGAGATAAATATGAATGGAATTTCAGAAGATAAAGGGGACTAATAGAAATGCTAGAGATTTGAGGGAGTTGTGCAGAGAAAGTACAATAATCTTGCAGAGAAAAAAATTATTAGGCTGAACTCTTTTGAAAGGTACAAAAATGAGAAAATTCTAAGTCCTTAACAATTTCAATTTTGCATATTGTGATGTGGTATGCTTAAAGTGTTTTAAGTATTTTTTGATCACAGTCAGAGGACAGTGCAAGATGTAGAAATGAGATTGCAAAAACTTTTTAAGAATACGTCTGTGTATCCATTTTGTTCCATAGAATCGAAAAAAGGATGATATTGTATCTAGTAATATGAGAGAATTAGAGAGCACCAGTAAAGAAAATAATTTTAAACAAAATAATGAAAGTCCTGGAGAAGAAATAGTGCAACTAAGGCATGATGGAGAGCAAGAACATAATTCAAGTTTTACTAAAGAGGTACTAAATTGTCTTTTATTGAACTGTTCATCAGCTTGTCTGTCTTGCAGCAGAAAAATGTTTTGAGTCACAGACAGCAGAGTATGGGAAATTGAGGCGGTTCCTTTTGCTTGTAAGATTAAGATTTTTTTTTTTTAATAGAACAAATATTCTATAGAGAAGTGCAAAATTGTATCAGATCTGTCTGTAGCTGAGAAATTAAATTTTCTTGTAAATATTGCCTTCCTAAATTTCATTTTGTTTAACTTTATCTGTTACTATCTTGATTGATTGATTGATTGGAAAATTTAAAAATTATGGTCTTTACTTCTTTGGAAACAAAACTGATACTAATGCATCTTTAAACCAAAATCATTGATCTGTGCGTTGCTTAGGCTATATCAGTGTAGTTTTTAAAAATCATTTCATACACCTGACTTCTTTTGTTTGGTTGGCTTTAGTGCTTCAAATAGTTTATAGGAAGCAGAATAAAGCTGGCACAAGGATTTATACGTGGAAGTAGACAGTAACTGTAGTTTGTACCATTTGGTCACCGGGTTGATCTCTGTCTTGAAATACTCTCAAACTCACTGGGTAGTGGGTTACCTTGGTGTTTCTTGTACTAAAGCACCCTGAACACTCAGTAAAAGCAGACAGACTGTGAAGAACAGATTATTGCACTTGTTTCTACATAATTCTATCCTACTTATAGTTAATTTTTCTAAAAATCTTGTGTATATTCTTTTCTCCTTTTCTATCCATGTTCTTTCATTAATCATCCTTTGCTTTTACTTTTCCTCACTCATTTTTCCTTTTGTTTTCCTATTTTATTTTTAGCTCTTTAAAATGTATGTCTGATGGAGAATGGTATAAAATCAAATATTAACATCTGTCGTTATTCTCTAAAAACACTTTCTATTGAGAGTCTGTTGCTTTGTAAAGTATGCAAATCTTTTAACAGAAAATTATGTAATACACTTATATAGGTTATATCTAATCAGACCTTTAAAAGCAGTGTTCAGGTTCATCAGCAGTATATTGCAGTAGCTGGAATCTCTGTTGACATTGGGAAGAGAGGGATAGCGTGGAAAAATAGGCAGGCTGAAATCCAAAGAGTTCAGATAAGTTCTGGAAGTTATTAAGCGAAGCCCTACCCAACTCTGGTCTAAGTTCCAGGATAACTCTATTAACCTGAATGGTATTGATAAAAAAAAATTCTTAAGTTATGTAATTCTGAGTTACTAAGTATACATGATGGCAAAATTTGTCTGTTAATAAAACTGCTTCCTGATGCTGTATTTCTTATCTACCACTTATGTGTTACGTGTTACAGCTTTTGGTTTCATGATTTCAATTTTTTTATAGCTGACAAAAACTGATGATCTTTTATCAGATGCACATGTTGCATCTGACTCAAAAGAAGTGAATAATGAAGAGAAAGCAGAAAAGGAAAAGAAAAATAAATTGGAAGAAACACGTGATGGTGATACAAGGTAAAAATAAAACAAGATGTTCAGAGGCTATTTTAAACTTGCGTATTGTATTTATTAGCTGAACGGACCAAGCAACTAATGAAATACTGTTGTAAATACGTATAAGGTATATTATATGTTTTGGAGTGGTTTACATCTAGAGCAATCTAGTGAGAAACGTAACCACTGTGGGGGTTCAGTAAGAGGTGATGAGTTGGTGGGTGGAGCAATGTTTATTTTCAAGTATTACCCCAGTAATGAAGAGAGTATGTTAATAATCCTTGCTTTGGGATACAAAATGTATTTAGTAATGTCAGTTCAAGCTTCATATCAGTTTATCATAAAAGCTTCAGCCAGGGAACTTCCCTATTTTTGGAGTACTGCAAAATTAGAGGAATATTGTGTCTTGGATATTCTTCTTTAAGGATTCATAACTTTATTGTAAGTTGTGCTGCAGGTCCTAAGTGAGTTCTTACATTAGGTCATAACTTTCTGACAGCATCCTTCAGCAAAATAGATATCACACAGTAGGAAACTGCATGATTTTGTGAAGGAAAAAAGGAATTCAATCTCCAGTACTTTTTTTGGTTTTTTTTAAAGTCTAAGTTTACAAGGTAGAAGAGTTTGAAAATACGTGCTTAATTTATATTATACAAACTTGCAAGTTGCAACTTTTTTCTATTAACAGAAGAAAATTAAATTGTAACTCCTATACTTAGTGGTTAACACCTGAAATTAAGTTAGAGTGAGTTCTAAACACCGTGCTTTTTTTTTTAACTAGCTTGCAGAGTGTGACCACAGTTACAAACCACAAACCCAAAACCAGCTCAGAAGAAAGTGAAGTAGTTAGTGTTCAAGAACAAGGAGGGATTATTTCTTCATTTGAATTAGCAGCACAGTCTTCAAAAGGAACTCAGGCAACAGAAGGTATGGAAAAGAGTTAGACCAAAGCACAACTCATACAGTACATATGTAAAACTTTATTTCATTTTGATCATGTCTTTTTATGCTCTGAAACCTTTGTGGAGTGAAAGTGCTGACCTAGTCTAGATGTCAAGTGTATGATTTTACAACGTAGAGAAAAATAGTTTCCCAGTGGACAACTACAGAAATTCTATTTTTCTGAGGTTTTAATGTAAATTTTATGGTTGCATTTAATTCAGGGAGTTAAATAACTGTTGCCAGAAATTGAGTCATAGTGTGGTTGTCAGTTGGAGCAAATCCTTTCCTATTCACCTTGTGGAATAGCATCCCAATCCTGAATATGTATAGATTATTTTCCCTTACCTCCTTGCTAACAAATGGCCTCAGGTGTGCCCAAGGTTGAGGAATCCTTGAAAGTTTCCAATATATCTAGTAGATTTTGAACTAGAAAGTAAAAAACCACAGTTTAGTCACATTTTCAGGAGTAAGAAAAGATGAAGAAACAGAAAACGCTGACTGGTGGAATAACCGGTGGTGTACTACTTTGCAAGAAGGCAAGGCCTGGAGTAAAGCAAAATTGTTTGCAAAAAGAAAAAGAGTGGAGTGTGTAGGGGAGGAGGAAGGAAGGAGATAGAATTTAGGACATTATTGGGATATTTGATGATGGGAATGGTTAAGTAAGCCAATTTATGGATATGAAAGGTGGCCTGGACCTTTGTAGTGCAGTCAGCAATCCTTGCTGTGTCTTGATAATCAAAACCAGAACTTGTAAATACGTTTTAAAGTGCTCAGTTAGTCTAAGCTGGGATATAAAGGTGGGTCTGGGAGTATCCTGACTAGTTAAATTTTACTTTTTTTTTTTTCTCTCTCCCCTCTCTCTCTCTTTGCAATATAAATAACACATCAGCATTCACGTAACCATTGCTTGCTCCTTAGGTGTTCTACTGGTCATTTCTAGGCCTGGGTAATGATCTTTCTTGAGAACAGCTATGCTCTCCCCTGAACTTGTAGTCACTGCACTGATCAGATTTTAACTCTTTACTTCTGTAGCTTTCATTTGGTTCTGCTCATACTATAGCCTGAAATGGTGATTTTCAAGCTTATATTTATTATGTAACTTGTATTCTTATTTCTCTTGCTGTATGCTTTGCAGTGAAAAGTTTGCCTTCTTCACCAGAATCGTCATTGTCACCAGCCCCATCTACCCAGACGCAGCTCACAGAAGGATCACATTTCATGTGTGTATAGTTACAGAGAAGTACGTCCTTTTTTCCCCACCCCTCCTGCCATTTTCCTCATATTTTTCTAAGTTTATGTATTCTAGTTGTTTTTTCTTGAGAAACATCTGTAGATAATACTTGGCAAGACAAAGTTATCTGCCATGTTGAATATAAATTTAGCAGAAAACAAAACAAATAAATGTACTGATTTACTTGCAAGTAACGTATTCTCTATCCAAATACTAAGAGAAAGGACTAATTGGCTTATCAAGCACATTCTCCACAACTGGCAAGGGAATAAATAGCCTTTTGAATTACATGAGAGGCCTAAGCTGTTACAAAACAGACACCCAGTTAAGGCATCAGTGCTCAGGTGCAAATGAATCTTGATGCTTCAATCGTGGTAATAAGCAACTAGAGCTGGATCTCTTAGTGATGGGTAGGAGGGAATGGTCTAATGGCCCAAGGATTTTATGGCTTAAGACAAAGGTGACTGAGGCATGAGAAACAGAGAGGGGAAAAAATGAGGGTGGGAGAAGTGTAACAATTACAAAATTCTTTTTATTTTTTCTTTTTTTTCCCCCCTTTCTATAGAGATAACCCTACACAGCTTCTCTTCTTTTGTCATAGTAAGTGATTTCTTCTAGGAATGAAGTTAGAAAGCATGAGTTAGGCTAGATTTACGTGTTCCTACCTGTGATGTTACCTACTTAATGATGGAAATGGAAATATAAGTAAACATATTTGTTTATACAAATGTTTAAAGAAATTAATAGGATACCAATGTGGATGCTTCAGCACTTTACCAGCATTTAAATCAATCCGCTTTTCTTTGTTATCAGGAAGTACCTCTTTAAATAAGCTTTCTCCTAAAAGAGTGAGCTTTGTTTCAATGGTAATGTTAAATGCCATAGCTAATGTAACTTAAGAAAACTTTAAAATCCAGACATTTTCAGTCAGGAGATCTGAAAATAATTTTTTTGTTTGTTTGTTTACTGTCCCAATTTGTATTGCCAAGCTTTCATTTTAGCAAAATCAACTTATTAATGACAGACACCTTTCTCGTATGGCCAGGAAACTATATATATTCTTCAATAAAAAAACTATTTTTGTCTTTTTCTCCTTTTGAGAGTGAAAAATGTACTTTTCACATTCAGAACTGACACCTGTGTTGCTGGCTTCCTGATGGATGGTCTGTCATGATTAGATCCATCTTGGACTTTTGGACTTTTATTCAAAAGTGTTAGTACAGAACTATTTAAAAACAATAAGTGGGACTATTTTTATACTATTTTTTCTGGAAATACTGATTTTTGTTAATGCTTTTCAGTATAAATACACATGCATTTATCAGGCTGCTTCTTTTTAAATAGGACAGACGTTACTCCATCAACTCAGTTTCAGGTCAATAATGAAACTGAAACTGAAGTGCTGAATTTTGTCTGTAGCCACAGCACGCCTGTCTGGAAAGGGGAAGCAACCTATAACTTCACCAGAAATTTATTACTAATTGCATTAAGTTGCTTTCAGCTCTTGTCATCAGCTCCAGCGATCAGATCAGCAAAATATTTTTTGAAGGATTTATGCTAAATATGAGATTAGCAAAAATGAAGTGCTCACCTGCTTTGTAACTTAATGTCCAAGCCTTGACGTCCCACAGTGGGGTGTATCCTCATAGATAATACTGTAGCTGTAACATTGCCATGTTAAATACGGTTCTGCAAAGAGGCCTTAATGGCTTATGACAAAATGGTGCATCTGGGATGGCGCTTGTAAAACTAATGCTCTGCTTACACATGCCTCACTATATTGAAAGGATTCCAGAACTTAAAATACATCTGTTGTGGCTGTTTATTATTTGAATTGAGTTGGAGAGAGCATTCAACTATATGTGTATACATCCCATATTACTTTGCGGCACTTGATGCCTCTGTTGTTTGCTTCCTTGGAGCTTCAAAACAAATTTATGCCATGAGCTGAGCCTACTGCACGTAGATGTATGGAGCACAGTCTGCTTGCCTGCAGTATGTGCTGTCCCTTATCTTCTCAGGTTGTTGTTCCAGTATCCCAGTGCTTTGTTGAAAGAGAAGGTCTTTTAATGTGCAAGAACTCGGTGTCTCTTAGATGCAAGAAATCCTCTGTGGTAGGGGGAATTTCAGAGCTGTGGGCTCAGCCCTTTTCAAGCAACATCTGGAAAATGTATGGTAGATTTCAGAGAATAATGAGGTAATACCTATATTTGGCTTTTACAGTCAATTAGTAAAATGATACTCTTGGCACAGTGCTAGGGGAATTTGGCATAGGAAGTTGGTGGCACAGGATATTGTAGGACTAAGGAAAAACCCATTAACACAAAGCTACTTTCATTGTCACAGCTCTTGCTTTGCAGAGACCAATCTGGATGTGTACCACTGCCATTGTTACCTTTTAAGCATTACATTTACACTGCATAATGCTGGCACAATGACATTTTGTACAGCACCTAGATCCAAAGCTCAAACATTTTTACTAACATGTTAAAAGCTACTAATAGATGTCCTTTCAGCAATTACCAAAATACAGAAATCTCTGGGTGGAGCACTTGAACTTCAGAATACCTTACAGCTATGCTGCCATTATGGTGTAGCAACTGAATAATATTGCATCTCTCTTCAAACTGTGCTTGTCATTTGTAAGAGCAATGAGGATCTTTCCTATTACTACCAGTTTTATACGAAGAACATTTGGAGATGGCTGTGTACAACAGGATAAACCTCTCAGAATAAACAGACTTTCATAGGAAGTTGTGTAAATTTGAACAAGGCTTGCTTTTGCTCCTTGCTGTCAAAGTTATCTTGACAGCAGCATTATTCATCAGGAAAACTGGTTTTGGAAACAACTGATTTCTAAGATACTTTATTATGTTCTACACCATTGATAACTACTGCTAGGATGAGGTCAGAAATTCCTTGCTGTGTTTAATCCCAAGAGTTGCTTTACACAATATTCTGTTGTTGCTAAAATAGAGTAACTTATTTTATGTCTCTTTCAGCACTAACGGCTTCTGTTGAAAAAATTCATGCCTGAGATGTATGGACCTGAGCTATGAAAATATGAGAAGATATTGTACAGTATATTTTAAATCTATGAAATTCATAGTTCTGATGCTTTTGGCCACAGAGCATCATTTTATCACTTCCTGGAAAATGTTTATTCCAAGAGAGCTTTAAATGGCCCACATGTACACTCAACAACTTTCAGATTGTTCTCCTGATACCAGCTTGCTGCTATGATTTCTGTGCACATAAAATAAAGGCTCTTTTTAATGTGCAGCCTACAGTCAGAACTTTATTTGATATTCTCCAGAATTTAGTGTTCATTTAATTACGGATCATATAAGTTTACTTTTTGGCTTCTTTTAGATTCATAACTCGGTTAATTCTACATACTAAACCTTGTTTTACACTTTTTAAACATTACAATTTCTTGTTTTAACATTTTATTTGTAAAATTTTTATATATATATATACATATAGATATATTTAAAATGTGCCATTTTTATTATTGCTTAGTAAAATATGTCCTGTTTCTGCTGTAATTATTTCTTGGTCAGGTTGCAATGTCAGCAGTTACTGCCACACTTCTGTCAACATATACGTTAATGTAAGTGGTTATTTTTTCTTAAATAAAATGGAGTGTAGGTATTTTGAGGTACTGGGCTTTTCCTTTGTTGGGTTAGGGTGTGTACAGCAATAAGCAGGTTTTCAATCCAGTACTTAGTTTGTGTACAAATGTAATTATGTTCATTGTGTATATATTATACAATGAGCACATACGATGTAAGTATAAGAAGCCACTTATTATTGTTCAAATACAAATGTTCATATCCCATTTCTTTTATATCATATTAAATAAATGTTGATGTTCTCAAGGACTTGTATGGTTAGTATTTTTTCCAGCAAACAGATGTCACACTGTGTTCCGCCTTTTGATGCGGGGAATGCAACAATTCTTATCTCGTTGGCGACATCACCTGTCAACCAGAGTAGCAGTGACAGACTCTTCAGAGATTCCAGTCTTCCTCTACGGGAAAGAATAACGCTGCAACACAGAACAAAAAGACAACTTGAGACTGAGATGCAAGAAATACAGGTTCAGCTCCTGACTCTCCCAGACTTGTGTCATGATGTTGGAATAATCACTTAGTCATTCTGTGCCTCCATTCCCTGCCTGTTTACTCGAGAGGTAACAGCCTGTTTTACTGGGGTGTGGTGAGTAGTAATTCAGTGTTTGCAAATGTTGAATGACACGTTCAGTGGGGTTAAGGAGAGAAGTTTGATGATTCCTTGAGGTTTTGACATCTGCAAAGCATCTTCCAGAAACTGAAAGAAAACCTGAAATGATTTGTCAAGTGTCATCGTACTACAGATGTTACTGGCTTCATTTTTCCATCTCGCACAGCTGTCTGAATTTGCCTGAGACAAAAGAGGTTTAGAAAAGAATGATGGAAAATTAAAATATTTAAGGAAAGCTTTTGAATCTAGAATGTAAAGCTAAGAAATCTTTTAAAGGTTCAGGCAACTGCTGTGTGCTTCAGTGCATGTGCATGCCATAAGTGGTAAGGCAGGTTTCGTAAGACAACTGCCAGCTCCTCTGGTGCTTTTTTATCACACAAATCATATCCTGTTCAGGTTAATATTGCTGTACTAGAGACTATATAATTCATTGTGCTTTTCCATAGAGGAGGGCCTGAGACTGATACACAGTTTGAAATTAACTCTCTATCATTGTCCCCCTAAGTAGGAGTTTGTGTTTGTTGTAACCTTTTGCTGCTCACAGCTCTGCTGGCAGTTCTTCCTGGGGCTCTTTGCCATGAAGACACGGAGCACGCTGTCCGTCTACCTGTCGTTTTGCCATTTTCTTTGAAAAGTGAAGAAATAGGAAGCAGAATTTAGCAGCAGAGCTTGGAGGGTCATAGTGAAAGAGATGGCTGAAAGAAAAAAAGATGAATCATCATGCAGACAGACAGCATGGAGCTGAAAGTTTGATCAAATAGTCTTTCTTCTTATTTTTTGGAACAGTGGCCCTAAATTAGTGCATCCTTCCATCCAAAACATTAGAGCAAAGAGGAGGAATGTGATTTTCATTGCTCAACCAGCAAAGGTTTAAGCTCAGTGGTATCATTGGAACACCTGGGGCAAAGCAAATCGGACACACCCAGTTCTCTCCCTAACCCTTCTAGGGAGAGCTGTTCCACTGTTGAGCTTCGCAATCTTTTTCTGTCCTTGCTGCCAAGAAAAGAATTGCAACCAATAAAGGAAAGAATGACTAAGTGGTTTTTGGACATTTATAGGTCTTGCCTGTGTTTAAAGCAGCTGTCAGTTTGGTATATCTGTGATGTACGTGCAGTTTATGCTGAAGCTGGGGGAGTGTGGGAGGATTAGCAAGCTTTTGCTGGTATAAATGTTGGCAAAGACAGCAAATGTAAATGGTGCAGGAATGTAGTAATGCTCATAGACTATAATTTCACTTCCTGTGGGCACTTGCAGCAAAGGCTTGCAGTTTCATTGGGTGCTCTATTTTTTTGTGTCTTATGGAAAAAATTTACAGCTTTGTGTTATCACAGAGCATCTACTGTCTCTTACCTCATCAGAATCATACTCCGGAGATACAGAAATATCAGAATACTGATATTGTCAGCCTTCAAACATCTATTTTAAGTTTGTATCTAGGATATTTTTATATTTCTGACTGATTGCTTTATTGGCTATTGCACTGACACTTGTATATATGGAACATGTGCTTTTTTTCAAAAGCAAGAGTCCTTAGGAATAATGCAACACATTCTCTACAGATGTTCATGCTGTTCAGAACCAATTACATCTATTTTTGTCTTTTGTTCACCATTTCCATTGTTCCAAGACTACTAGAGAATGTGATTCTTTTAAGTCCCTTAATAAAGTGACGTTACTCAAAAAGTTATAGTTGGTGTCTTGGCAGTTTTTGTATGTTGTGGACTGGCTCGAAGAGAAAGACCTCACCAGGCAGTTGAAACCCAAACCTTGTTTATATTGTTACTGAGGGGCAAGAAGTAGTCTTCTGGTAATATTTCCTCATAAACATATCTGTCATAAAATGAATCCAATCAGGTTCTATTTTCAGGAAATCAGAAAAATTTTAAACAGTTCATTTCTATCTGAATTGCTTTAGTTGGACAGTCTGGGAAAGAATTATTACCCACCCTATTGGATCCACTAGATGTAGTAACCAGGAGTACATACATGAAAAACATTAATGGATTACACTGTTAGTAACAGATCTAATAAATTCTCTAGTACTTGGACTGGTGGCTTAAGTTATATCCTGGCTGAGTAAAGCAGCAGAGAGGGAGATCTTTCACCAGTGGTGGTGCTGGTTAACTCTTACCCCAAACTTTTCATTATATTCTAACAATGAGGTGGTTTTCTTTTTTCTTTTCTAATAAAACAAGCCATAAATAGTACTCATTCAGATCTCAGAAGTGGGTCATCATGTCTTTTCTGCACAGTACTTTTTTGTCCTCGTGATCCTGGATTTTGCTATACTTATTTTATCAAGTTATTCTAGGGTAGTTTAATCTTATTTCAGTTTGAATCCTCAGTTAAAATGTTATTTTCCATCCTTTAGAAAGTTGACATTTAAATGGCTAATGAACAAATTGCCTGCACTTGGCATTAATAATATATCTGAAACAACTTAATTTAACGTTTTTAAGGATGCACGTGAAGATAACAAAGCAACATCTGGCCTTCATTTCTTCTAAAGAACATTATATATACTTGCTGTTATATCCTTGGAGCTGTTTAGCTTGTCCATATGGGAACATTGAAGAAGTTGCTACAAAATAAAATGGAATATACTGGTGACTGAAAGCAAACGTCTGGCCCAAAATGAAGGCTAAAAGCAGCTGCTTTCTGAACTTGACAAGCACAACTTGTTACTCAGCTGTTCCAGATGTGTCACTATTCAAATATTACTTGTGGAATGAAGTTTTTCTATTTTTTGGTGATGTTTCTTCATTCTGTCGTATGCCAAAAAAAAAATGTTTTTAAGGGCTGGCTAAATATTATCGAGCTGTTGTTGTGAAACTGCAAGCAACTCTTAATTGGAGCTATGGATAAGTAACATCACCACAGCAGTTGCTAATTGGCTTGCGTGGCAGTCTTGCTATGGAGGTGTTTAAGAGGACTTATTTAGGCTGGGTTAGGTTCTGTCTGGAGTAAAAGAAAAAGCTGTGAGCAAATGGTGCTGTTTCCAGTGGACTGCAGTAGAGTATATCAGGACAAAAACAGATGTGATCTCATTAACTGCTTTATTGCTGAAACCAAACCTAGAATAAGGAATTAATTTTTTGTCAAATTCTATCCAGATCCCTGTTCTATGAAACAGGAATACTTCAAAGAATTTCAGACTAAAAATGGAAACACTCTCTTCCTCTTTTGAAGGTGAAATGAGTACTGTTTAAAAAAAAAAAAAAAAAAGGCAGCAGACCCTGTAGGTTTAACTTTATACGTAGAAGAAGCAAGATTTACTTATGGCCTAGAGATCTGGTCAATGAAAACTTGCAGAAAAATACCTGATCCTCATCTGTTGTTATCTGGTAGTTTTCCTGAATCACACTGATATGACTGGCACTGTCCAGGACTCTCTTCTGCAACTTTCAGTCCACTCCAGCCCAACGTGTCAAATATTCTGCGTTCCTTGTATGGAGAAAAAATGCCTTATCCATACAACAGCTGTCTGTCCCTACACAAGCAGATGAGTCTGGGCCACCAGTTTCTTGCTTGAAATCACTAAACACTGCAGGTGCTTAGCACTGTGAAAGATCAAGCTCAAAGCATATCATGTGAGACACCACACGTTTCCAAGTTACTTGCATATGAACTTCCCTTATTTTCAGCAACAGATTCTATTTAGAAGAAAAAAAAAATATATATTTTTTCACATTGCTAGAAATCAAATAACTAGTAGGTACAAATATGTAATAATTTTTTTATATAAAATTGTCATTAATTGACAAGAGTACCTTTCAAAGTGATTGGGAAAAGCTGCGAAATTCAGCAACTCAACTCATAAAAATCACCTCTTCGTAGTATGAATTTATACCAACTCTTGATGCTGATTGCACGTGTAGTCGACTGCCCTCTATTGTGCAACTTCTTGGTAAAATCCCAAGTCAGCAAGAAGATGGAAGCTGTTTTAGATGCTTTGGCTTTAAAGATTTTTTTTTTATTTTTTTTTTTTTTGTGCTCATTCACCAGTCTTGGAAACAGCTGTTCGTGACTGTTGCATTTATTC